TTTTGGTTGCTTAATATACTATGTATTCACACTGTTTAGAAAGGAATGTTATCACGCCATGTGAAGACACTTATTACAACAATAAACCAAATGATGTCACATAAATAATCTCAAAGCCAAATGTAGTTGAACAATTTTTACAATAATTTTCCTTATGTGAGCAAATTTATAAGGAAATAGATATTTATTATTCATGCATTACCACATAATATTTACAGTTTTTCTTTCAAATGATTTGTAATTATTTAATCAGGGCCATGACCTATTCTTATAACAAGCATATGTCTTATGGCCTATTTTTTTATTATATTTCTTCACAGCTAACATTAAACTGTGCAATATTATACAACAATGCAGAGTAAAACTAAAATCTTTTTCCTAAAGAAACAACAAAGTGATGTACAATAAACATTTAAACGCCAACTTTCATATACTAGAATTAAATAAATGCTATACTCGTGTAAATGTAACACCTTAACCACCTAACCATCTTATCTAAATCATGGATTTCATTATAAACATGGTAATTTGTACAATAAACTAAAACAAGGAATTCTTTTTTTCTGGAATGTTGACTGTCAACCAAAAATGGTGAAATATAATCATTCAAAAATATAAAGGTAAAAGTTTACATAAAAAATCTGAGTATCAAATATACTAGTATTCCAGTTATGTTTTTGACGTTATAAAAACAATTAACAGTGGCATAAAGACATACATGTACATTGGATTTCATCACTGTAAACAAATATTCGAAAATGGACATTATAATAGGAAAGCATTAAAAAAACCAAGCTACACAAAAGATGACAGGAAAAATGAGATCAGAAAATGGAGTTTGAGAACAATATTTCTGGTAAAATATTTTGTTATAAACATTTTGTAAACGAATGCAGGTAAAAGACTTTCCTATACCAACAGTACCAGTTGTAACAGGCAGAAGAACCACACTCCATACTGTTCACTGTTAATTTTGATTGTTTTTTATCTGTTTATGAAACCCCGTCCCCAAGTTATCCATGCCAACATCTGCAATAGAATCGGGGCCAATAGACTACCCAGTTATTACCATACATCTCAATATCTGAGATTAAAAGACACAGATTGTTTTTGCCTTGATGGAGAATCAAACCCAGCAGCCATAAATAACAAATCTGACCCTTGTTGAACTTAGTGGGCAGAAACACTAAATTTAAACAACTCCCTGTTTAACCATGTGGGCAGAATACTAAAATTGAACAACAAACACTGTAGAGAATAGTCAATATGGATGTGAAGTTTGGGGCTCTAATCTATACTGTTGCCATAGGTAAGTCATTTTAGCTGCAATCAATTTCAGAATAAAATGAGAACAATACCAAAGGATAGGGCATTGCTAGTCTGGCAGTTAATGAGTTATGAGTGAAAGAATACGGCATCTCTTAACTTATCATGCAAGAAAATGTTAACAGAGATTATATCACCATGAAGTAAATAGTGTATTAAACATATAAAAATGGCTCTCAAAATGTCACAACACATATATTGCCTTGTTTAGAAACACAAACAAAACAACTGCAAGGATAATTTCAACAAATAAATACAAATTTTCAGCTTTTTGTACGAAAGATTATGGTTAAATATAACAATGACTCCCTTAATGGTTTTATGCCAAATAACTACATGTATATAAAAGAAATCTGTTTAATATACATGTATACAGTCAAATGTGAACAAAGTTTAATATACATGTAACTTAATTGAGATAAAAAGTTAGCAGAATCTCACAAACTGCAGGTACAAAATAAATAATTGTTTTTGGGATAAGTTAAAATATTTACAACACAGCACAATTCAACCCTCAACAAACAAACCAAATCGTTTTTATAACAATGAAAAAATAATTATAAATGCATGTTTATATTTTCTACAGTTTTCTGTAAAAATGCAAATATACTTAATTTACTCACTGATAAGTCTGAATTTTTCCATAAGATTTAAAGGTTTATACCACATACCTCGTCTTACAGGTGTGTCATGAAAGTCCACTGGGAAAATTACAATTTCAATATGTTGAAACAGTTCAATGCAAAATTTACACCCAGACTAACGAACAACAAGTCTTATAAATGAGTATATACAGTACTAACTAAACTTAAATTAATGCAAATATATTCTAAAAGTAATAATAAAAGAGATTCACAGCTTTTAGATTCAATTTACTATCTCACATAACTAGATCTTGAAATAAGTCACATAAATTCAACTTAGTACATTCAACATGTCAGTTTTTTTTTTTTAATGTGAGTATATTTTAAGCAAGCAAAATACAAAATATTGATTTTCTAACATTGAATAAAATGCATAGCCAACAAAAAGAAAAAGGGGTAAAAAAAATGGAAATGATTATTGTTTGAACACAGAATATGAGCAGAACATATCTTCATCACAGATTCAAATAAACACATTTATATACATTACTGTTAACTGAAATCTGCTATATAAATCATTAAAACCTAAACATCTATTGGATTTTCTAAATTTCTGGTTTGGATTTCAATAAATGTCAACACTGTAAAAGTCATAGAGCAATCCCCCACCCCCCCAAAAAAAAATCTGGACTTCTCTATCATTCAAGTAATAGAACCATGCATTTTTTCCCTTTACAGTAATTCTTTGTTCCCTCAAACTAAGATGTATTTAAAGTGTCCATAAAATAGAAAGTTTATTTTGTCTAGGAGGGTTTATTTTTTTGCAAAAAGAAAAACAACCAAAAAAACCCTAAAGAAATTTGGCACATTAATGATGCGTGTAAAATGGCAGTCAGTAAATCTTCAAAATCACAAGCACTGGAATAATTAAATGCACCATCTGAGCTTGTCTAGTATTATCATTACAATACACAATATACATTTTAAAGACACAGAAACACACAAAATGTTCAGAACTGTTTGTTTAAACAAAAAACACCTCTTTAACTCTATAGCAAAAAAACATCAAAATGTTTTAATATTTTCAAAATGAAAATTTAATTCAATATTCTAAATAAAATATTTTACCATATACATGCAGCTACATAAATTAAGCACTATTGATCAACGCACACATTAACAACATAGAAGTTGAGTATTCAAACGAAGCAGTAAATTGCTACATCAGGTCATGTGTAATGCAAATACACCCATTGACAGTCTCTATATGAACAACGTTAATAACCGAGGTATATTGAGTGAAAATTACGAGTTGTTTCCCTTATCTTCAAGTAAAATCGATATCTCTAATGCTAAAACGTTACAAATTTAGCTGTTTAAATTTAAACCACTAGTTTGGGGCAATTTAATGTCTGATTTTAAAATTTTCCATCAGCTTAATGGTTGTTTGCTTGATTTTGAACTTGGTATCTGACATTAGACTCTGATGTACTCGGCCTGATCAGGTACAAAGCTGTTTGCAAAGTCTTTTGTGATTGGTCTCAGCAGGTCAAACACAGATTGACAAAACAATTTTCTTTCTTTTTTAAAGCAGTTCATGCACAACAAAAATAATCCTTATTTAACAAAGCTATTAAATCGTTAAAGAATTACTTCCCAACAAAAGTAGTCCTCATTTAACAAAGGTATTAACTGGTCAAATAATTACTCCGCAAACAAAAATGATTCTCATTTAACAAAGCTTTTTTCTGGTTACAAAATTACTCCGCAACAAAAAATAGTCCTTATCTAACAGAACTATTAACTTGTTAAAGATTAACTCTGTAATAAAAAAAAGTCCTCATTTAACAAAGCTACAGTGTATTAACTTATTAAGAAATTACTCAGCAACAAAAAAATAGTCCTCATTTAACAAACCTATAAACTGGTTAAAGAATAACTCAGCAACCAAAAAATAGTTATCATTTAACTAAGCTATTTCCCTGAACTTGTTTCAGCAAATGTATGTAGTTCCTGGAAAGGGTAAACATTTTCTTGTCACATATAGTGACTTTTAACAAAATAATTACGAGTACACAGTATACATCAAATAACAGCATTCTAAGCTAATTTTACAATAAACTTTAAATTTAGGGCTTTAATAAAATTCAACAATGAAAAACAAAAAAGTCTAGAAAATCACAGATCAAATCTTATAAACACTATCGTTGAGTTGTCATTAAAGCAACAACCAAATAACAATTTATAAATTAATCACAATTTACTTTGCTAATGAGTAAAATAACTTAAGCAATCAGACAAAAAAAGACCAATATAAATGAAATTTAATATATACCCATTTCTATGATGAAACTGGGTACAAATTTTGAAACTGCTATCCCAGTAGATATATAGGTAGATAGATTTATTTCGGTAAAGGAAAACCAACATGTATAGCAAAATACATTAAAGCAGCATTAAGCTTTTACTTTCAGTTGGAAAAACAATTCTGTGTTGTTTTAAACTAAGTATTTCATTAATTTTATCTTTGAAAGGAGAATCATATCACTGTTCAACCTGATAAGCCATGTCCCGAGAGCTAGTGATAATGCGCAAATAACTTTCATGTCTAAAAATAGAAGATTGAGAAAAGAATCGTCCACTTAAATACAACATAATTCAAATCTCTAATAGAATAGCGGACCAGAAGATTAGAGGTATCGAGGGGTTTTCTTTATGTATTTTAACATTGGCAATTTTCATTTTCCACCTTAATGCTTTTGATTTCACACTTATATGAAACGATGTTTCTACAAATAACATATTTAAACTTTAGAAAAGATGAAGGCCGCTTTAATCACAATATGGAATCAATTCAAAAAAATATAAGATACTATATTTAGAAATTGAGTTTTATGTTGCCAGTGGACAAATCAAAGCTTAATTGAACCCTGACCTCACTAAAAACCTTAAATAGACTTGCCCATCTTTCAAATTTGGACATTACCATTCATTAGTTTTAGGGAACATTACAAAATAAGAATACTTGAATAGCAAACAGTGCAGACCTTCATCAGATGACACAAATGTGCTGACTGATCTTCGTCTGCAATGGTAATATATTGACATATTTAGTTAGTATATTTAATCTTCTAAGGATCACTGGTTGCATTAATAGATTTAGTTAGTATATTTAATTTTCTAAGGACACATAGCGATAAAAAAAGCCAACATTTATTTCAATGGACTGATGAATGCAGAATGTTTAGGAGAACCAGTAATGGCTAGAACCTTTTCAATGAAGCTGAAATTAATAATTACTATATATGAATATTAAATTAAGACAAATTATATAAAGTCTACTGCACCATTCAACAATTTCATATTATACTTTATAATAAAACCAAATATTTCTCATTAAAATCATTGTTGGACATATACACAAAGGACAAACTTAAGTAACTTTAGTTTCCCTTTATCTAGCAACCTTAAAACATATATTCTTTTCCAATGGACTCAACTACATGGAATTGATAACCCTGTATGGAAAATTATTATGTAATACCTACATAGCTTGAACTAACTAATTTAAACCTACTTTCCCTTTTTTTTTCACTACCTTGTACAAGCAATTTCTATAAATAGTAACAGTTTCTATAAATAGTAACAAATTCTCTCATACATATATATCAACCAATCAGCAGCCACAACCACCTTCACCTCCTCCAGCTTCATCCATTTCATATTTACTTCTATTTTTAGAACCAGGAAAAATGGACTTGTCTGTGGAACGTTCCATTCTCAACATGACCATGTCTAGTAGACACTCGATCGCCTTGGCAACATTCTGGCCGTTTGCTGCACTTGTTTCAAAGTAGGGCAATCTAAAACATACAAATTTTTATTTGGTTTTGTACATTTTTTAAATTTGAAATGTTGGTTAAAGGAAATTTCAAAATATGATCTGTTTTTTTTTAAAATATAAAGACATCTGATGATGGGCAATTCATTTAATTCAATAAATAATGTCATGTATACAAACCGATTTAATGACATCTAGATCCTTTTTGGAAAATTCTTGAATACTGTGTGAATGTGTGTTATATTCCAATATTCAATTTACAACTCTCATATATAATAAAGCAGGTCCCCCCCCCCCCCCCCCCCCAGTTTACTTAAATGGGCAGTTTGAACATTAAACCAGATTGATACAAAATTTAGAGCCCCGTCTTATAAGTGGCACGTCTTATAAATGAGAATAAAAATTTCTTTTAAATTATCCAGCTAGCTTATGGGCAGATGGTGATTATACCAATGTATCTACTCATGCCTGATAAATATTGGAAAGTCTTCAGCTTGGGTTTCTTGTCTGAATCATAAAGCAGACTGCTAAGTGGTTAAGGTGTCTGCCTCACAACTTGGCCCTACTTAGGTCATAACCATGATCCTCATTTGACACCAGTATTGGTAGGACTCTACACATAAACAAATGAGCCGCACCATGACAAAATCAACATAATGGGTTTGCAACCAGCATGGATCCAGACCAGCCTGTGCGTCCGTGCAGTCTGATCAAGATACATGCTGTTTGCTTACAACTCTATTACAAATAGAGAAACTGATAGGGAACAGCATGGATCCTGATCAGACTGCGCGGACGCGCAGGCTGGTCTGGATCCATGCTGGTCGCAAACACATTACGTTGGTTTTGTCATGACGCGGCTCAAAGATATTAAGACTGAAACTTATAATATAGCAGGAAGGTCACTATATGAAAGTGATGGTACATGACTTCTGAGTTACAAATTGTCCCACATAGCTTACATATGTCTTGTACTTTGTACTGTGCTGTTTACAATACCACAAAGTATGACAAATTACAGGCAAATAAGCAACTATAATTATGTTTCCTTAAAATGTTCCAATGAACTTTTACAATTGAAAAATACAAACCCATGTTTTTCTGCCAATTCTCTTGCCCTTTGTTCACTTATTTTTCTTTGATCTTCAAGATCCGCTTTATTGCCACATAAAACAATATCTGGGTTCTCACAGTAGGCGTGGGTCTGTAACTGGGTCAACCAGTTACGAATATTTATAAATGATTGTTCGCTTGTCAAGTCAAATAACAGGAGAAATCCCATTGCATCCCGGAAAAATGCTGTAGTTAAACTTCTAAACCTGTAAACAAGAGTATTAAATATTAAACCATTTTTTTTTCATTCAATTTTTATCAAAGCTAATTTGTACAATGTATAATTTCTTTTTTTTTGCATTTTATGTGGCAGGTCAAAAAGGGGAAAGAAAGATAAAACAGTTTGTTATATTCTTTTCTACTTTCACCTTTTCAGCTTACCTGTAAACCACATGAAAAATGTCCACAGCTTAAAGAAACATATACATGTGTTGTATTACTAATTAATTCCATTTTGCTACAAATAAAATGGTATAAAAGCATACACTGAAGCATTCAATGAAGCATCGAATTGAAACATCTCATTTAACCCTCCACTTGTTGAATTTCTTAAATGAATTTGCCCAGCTTTGACTTTAGAACAGTCTATTTAATGTTGAAGCCGCTTCAATATTAAAATACCAAATAAATACTGAAGCTACAAACAATATAGAGCATGGTTAGACTGCTGACCTGGCTCTATACTTGTGGAAAAAGCTAATCACTTTTTGTTCCTGCACCGTATAGGCTAAAATAGCACACAGTTACCTTTCTTGGCCAGCAGTATCCCACAATTGTAAATGTACTCTCTGACTCCTACCTACAGCACCTTCTGTACTATGAGCTCTATGTACCTGTAAACACAGCAAAAATACAGTAAAATGTACCAATAAACACAGCAAAATACAGTAAAATGTACCAATAAACACAGCAAAATACAGTAAAATGTACCAATAAATACAGCAAAATACAGTAAAATGTACCAATAAACACAGCAAAATACAGTAAAATGTACCAATAAACACAGCAAAATACAGTAAAATGTACCAATAAACACAGCAAAATACAGTAAAATGTACCAATAAACACAGCAAAATACAGTAAAATGTATCAATAAACACAGCAAAATACAGTAAAATGTACCAATAAACACAGCAAAATACAGTAAAATGTACCAATAAACACAGCAAAATACAGTAAAATGTACCAATAAACACAGCGAAATACAGTAAAATGTACCAATAAATACAGCAAAATACAGTAAAATGTACCAATAAACACAGCAAAATACAGTAAAATGTACCAATAAATACAGCGAAATACAGTAAAATGTACCAATAAACACAGCAAAATACAGTAAAATGTACCAATAAATACAGCGAAATACAGTAAAATGTACCAATAAACACAGCAAAATACAGTAAAATGTACCAATAAATACAGCAAAATTGTATCATCAATTATGTACCTATACACATAGTAAAATATAAGCTTATTCAATCAGCAACAAGTTTTAAAAATACAGTCAAACTTGTGTTAAAAACCAATTCTAAATAAAGACCACTTCTAAATAAAGGCCATGTAATGGTGATCAAGTGCCTTATTACACGATATCATTTTTATGCGCAGCATAAAAAAGGAATGCTTACATGTCATATAATATCAAATATGACGTCAATAAACCAAATGACGTCAGAAAAATTACTTCTACGCTCAATGTCGGTTCAACATATTTTTATCAATTCTCTGAAATTACTTTTTTATTAGAATGTTAGAATAGAAATAAATATTAATTTTTCTTGCATTATAGTATAACCATGCACTGTTTATTGTAATTAATCACTCAGGCCATAATCAGCTTTTGTCATTCTATTCCAATGCATTTGATGTCAAACTGTGCATTACTCTACTACAACAATGCACTTAAAATTGATCTCTATTTTCTAAATATCATACCACTTTAAATTATCAATAAACAAAAATTCAGTGACTGCATTTTTCATGCCAGAAAAAAAGTCATCATTATTTAATCGGTGTTTCAAGATACTGGATATGATTTCTACATCTGGAATTCAGCACATGCAATTTTAATTAATAACATTGGTAATTTAATCAAACCAATCGAGAAACCTGTCAATTACTAATTAATTTAGATCATACACATATGCTACAAGAGAAAATGACAGTATTGAGTCATTTGTAAGTTACAAACCTAGGCCAGCTATAAAATGTGTGTTCATTAGAAAGTACCAATACAGGCCCACTATAAAATATTGTTTGTTTGCTGCTCCTGACGGACTAAACCAAACTTTTACTGATCTAATAAATATTTTTGATAAAGAAAAAGAAATCCTTTTCATTCTTTCTGTGGTTCCATACTTAATTGACAGGGATCCCCTTGAAAAAGAAACTCTTGATTTAGTTGAACTATTAACACTTATTGTACATGCTTACACTAATTAGTATACAGAAAATATACATGTACACCAATTTGAGAATCTAGAATTTTCTTCTTTTTTTTTGGGGGGGGGGGGTGAGGGGGGGGGGATGGGCCTAGCATTAACACAGGTAACGGGTCATATGGTGACTTTCCCAGCTATACTGGTGGAAGGAGACACAGTTGCCCATCTGTGCATTTATAAGTTCAGGCACAAGCAAGAGGGAAGTTTAAATAACATTTCTAATCTTATAAATTTATACATAATTATATTGTATATAGTTTTCTCCTCTATCTCAGTATCTCTTAACCGCCTCCGTGGTTGAGGGGTTAGAGTCCATGACTTCTAATCCAGTTACCTCTCTGGCGTGGGTTTGTTCCCCGGTAGATGCTTTGGTAGTTTAGCGCGGAGGAAGGAAGTATAGTACTGATGTAACTCTCCAGGAACGATGGTTAGGAAACTACCCGCCTATATGACTGAAATACTGTTGGGAAAAGGCGTAAAATGAAACAAACAAACAGCAGTATCTCTTTAGCTGCTGGAATTTACTGAAAGTGACCAGCTTTAACCAACAGTATACAGTTAGGCCAGCCTGAACCTAGCGTAGTACAACCAGGCTCTATACCAATGATAATGATGACAAAAAAGTACATAGATATGTGTCTTTCAGGAAAAAAAACAAACCTATAAATGACCTTAGACAAAAAAACAATTTATAAACCAACCCAACCCAAAATTTTGATAGGCATATTAAGAAGCAAACAAACAATTTTCAAAGATGGGCCTAACATTGGCTTTTAATGAGCTTTTACCTGTTTAAAAGCTGTTGTTTTTTTTGTTTTCTATAAATATTACATTAATTGTTATGTTACCACATTACCTGTATAAATTGTAATTAGGACATCAGTGATGGAAACACATTAAAAATGGTGTTATATATAATCATAAACTTTCACAACAACCTACATAATGTATACCTTTTAATGGAATTCATAAACTTGCCTGTTAACAGCTTTTCTAACAGCATTTTTTTATTAATTACGTAACACTATTCCATCAAAACTGGAAATTTGAGATCAATTCAAGTTGAAAGTAGCAATTTTAGCGCCAGTAACAATCAGTTGTGAAACCTCGCGCGTCATTAATTTAATAAGTAGCCGCGGACAACATTGTTCTACATAACTAGTGTATAACTATATCAAATTATTCACAGATCTGACTGCATCTAGAAGGATATTCTGTTAATATTCCCCACAAGTATTCTAATTAGATTATTTAGGAACAAGATATTACATATTACATGTTTATTAATGTCAGAAATTAGGAACATGTGACCTCATATTAACTCGCTAATTAGTATCCATTAATTTCTCTAGAATACAAATTTTACAGTACATCGTTAAATTTTCCTCCTAACAACGACTTGATTTTGCATTGTGACATTTAACAGTTAAGCTTTCACATCATAGTATTTGAACCAACTAATTATCTTTTAAAAGACAAATATTTTCAGCACAAAAAACAACAATAAACTAATAGCCTAAAACCATTATTTTCACCACAAAAATCTAACAAAATAAATAAAATGAAAGCCTTAAAGTACACTCAACATTACCATTTTTTATCTATTGTTTTAAAGCCCCTTTCATGGATAACTAACCAGCAATTACCAATTTCTCTGTAAGTGACAGGCTACCATTCCCTTATGATTTCTGAATCATCATTTGTCTCAAATGACCTATGTCTGAGATTAAATTTCCAGAAAAAATATGCCAAGCTTAGGACCTTTTGATCATAAACTGATGCTTTCCGTATTGAGCTAAGCAGGCCGACTATTATATAGCTTCAATGTCTAAGATCAAAGTTCACAGAAAAAATTGCTTAGTCTAAGGATCGAATCTGTGAACATCCTGATTACAAATGATATCTTATGCTCTCCCTTAATTGTGGTAAGCCCGCAGCTTTACTATAATAAGAGCTAGAGACAGTCTAGTCTCTGGCCAGACTGATAATTTTGACAATTTCATATTTCACTAAAGGAAATAATTCATCATAAATCAATTGAAAACAAATGTGCAGTCTAGCCTAGCTATATCGCTATACACAGGTGGTCAAGTTTATGTTCCAGATTAAAGTTTAACACTTTGCATGCTGGGAAAATTGTTGTCTGCTAAATATTGCATACGCTTAATTTAGAAAAAAAGGATTATCCAATTTTCATGAGAAAAAAAAATAGGATATAAGGTGTCTGTCCAGCAGCTTGGCACCAGTGTTATACCTCTGGCCTAGTTTTCAATAGGTTACTTTGATATTAACTTACCACTCTCTTTTCTCTGAAGTCTATGCCAACTGTAGATATAAATTTACCCGTGAACACATTGTCTGTATATTGGTATAACATTGAAGTTTTCCCAACCCCTGAATCACCTGAAACATACAAAATTGATCAATAATGTGTAAAACTATATAAATAAACTAAAAACAATACATTATTAAATGCACCTTTCTTTTCATTATTTATTATAATCAAATTGCATATGCTCAGCGAAAGTCCAAGATTAATATACCAAGAGCAAGAAATTTTGTTTTTACTTACTAAGACGGAAGAAAGCAATCTGTGTTGTCTACACGCAAAGAGCAAAAGGATATGATGTTTACACACCAATTTGAGCAAGAATTTGTGCTGTGTACACACCTTGAGCAAGAAATTCTTTTGTTATCTCACCAAGAGCAAAACTTTGTGTTGTTTACATACTACATGTACTAAGAGCAAGAATTTGTGATGTTTTCACACCTATTTGAGCAAGAAATTGTGTACACACCCAAAGCAAGAAATTAAGCTGTCCACATACCAAGAGCAAGAAATTCTTTTGCTACCTCACCAAGAGCAAGAAAGTTTCTTGTTTATGTACCAAGAACAAGAAAATTCAAATCCTGCTGTTTATTTTCCTGTTCTTCGCAAGAAATTGTGTTGTTTACACACCAAGAGCAGGAAAATTCAATTGATGTTGTTTACTTACAAAGAGCAAGAAATTGTGTTGTTTAAATACCAAAAGCAATAAAATGTGGGTTTTTTTTTAAATAACAAAGACAGGAAATGGAACTTTTTACTAACTAATAGCAAGAAAATGTGTTTTTTTACAAACAAAGAGCAAGAAATACTGAATACCAAGAGCCAGAAATTGTGTGGTTTACTTATCAAACATTTTATAAGAGCAAGCAATTGTGTTGTTTACACATCAAAAGCAAGACTTTGTGCTATTTTTACTAATAGCAAGAAAATCTGTTTTTCACTTACAAAGAACAAAAAGTACTTACAAAGAACAAAAAGTACTTACAAAGAACAACAAGAGCACCGCTAGGCGGAGCATTATATGCTCGAAAGTGATTTTTTTTTTTAGTAAAGATGAAGCATTTGTAAGACATGGGACTAAAATAAAGTATTACCTCCTTCAAATAACAATCCTCCTTTGAAGTTTCAATATTGTGGTCCAAATGGAACTTTAAGTTATGCCCCAGAAACTATTTTCAATTCTAAGGTAAAAGTGACCTTGACCTTTGACCTTGTGACACCAAAATCATTAGGGGTCTTCTACCCAATATGGACAATTATACTATGAAGTTTAAACACAGTAGGCCAAATGATACTTAAGTTATATTTCGAAAACTGTTTTCAGTTTTAAGGTAATAGTGACCTTGACCTTGTGACCCCAAAATCAAAGGGGTCTTCTACCCAATATGGACAATCATCCTATGAAGTTTGAATATTGTGGGCTAAATGGAACTTAAGTTATGCTCAAGAAACTGTTTTCAATTTCTAAGTAATAGTGACCTTGACCTTTGACCTTGTGACCCCAAAATCAATAGGGGTCTTCTACCCAATATGGACAATCATCCTATGAAGTTTGAACACTGTGGGCCAAATAGAACTTAAGTTATGCTCAAGAAACTGTTTTCAGTTCTAAGGTAATAGTAACCTTGACCTTTCACCTTGTGACCCCAAAATGAATAGGGGTCTTCTACCCAATATGGACAATCATCCTATGAAGTTTGATCACTGTGGGCCAAATGGAACTTAAGTTATGCTCCGGAAACTGTTTTCAGTTTTAAGGTCATAGTGACCTTGACCTTTGACCTTGTGACCCCAAAATCAATAGGGGTCTTCTACCCAATATGGACAATCATCCTATGAAGTTTGAACACTGTGGGCCAAATGGAACTTAAGTTATGCTCCGGAAACTGTTTTCAGTTTTAAGGTCATAGTGACCTTGACCTTTGACCTTGTGACCCCAAAATCAATAGGGGTCTTCTACCCAATATGGACAATTATCCTATGAAGTTTGAACACTGTAGGCCAAATGGAACTTAAGTTATGCTCCGGAAACTGTTTTCAGTTTTAAGGTCATGGTGACCTTGACCTTTGACCTTATGACCCCAAAATCAATAGGGGTCTTCTACCCAATATGGACAATCATCCTATGAAGTTTGAATATTGTGGGCTAAATGAAACTTAAGTTATGCTCCGGAAACCAAATTGCTAACGGACGGACGGACAGACGGACGGACGGACGGACAGACGGACGGACGGACGGACGCCAGGGGGTATAACATAATATGTCCGAAATTCTTTCGGGCATATAAAAAGTACCAAGAGCAATTAGTTGTTTGTTTACTTACCAAGAGCAAGAAATTTTATGAGGTAGTCATAGTCACTTGAGCTGTGGGTTGGAGACTCCCCCATCTCTAACACTGTAATAAATATATTGTTCACTCAATCATAATATATTACATCATAATTACATCATAATTTATATTCATATAGTTCATTATTCCAATAGCACATTGATCATTCTGTTTGTACATAAATGATCCAGTACATTGATCAGTAAGTTCTTTAAACAGTTAGTGAGAATTGTAAAGAGTAGATATCACATACTAGTAATACATAGATATCAAAGTAACTTATATATCAATTATATCTATTAAGTGCAACTTAAGGAGCACCCTTGAGGAGTCAACAGAGGTTCAAAGGCCTTAAACATAAAATTTGAAATTCTGGTGGCCTAATGGTTAAGATGCCTGTTTCTCAACCCTAAGGATCATCAGTTCCTCCTACACGAGTGATATAATTAATTTGATTTTACACTCTTTGATAGAACATGTATAATACAAAATGAACAAATTTTCTATTTATTTCATGTTTTTTTTATCTTTTTGTAATCATGCATTACTAATTGACGACAGAGTGTTTATGTATATCAAATGAAATTTTCATTCATTTAAAATTTTTATTCATATATACATGTACAGTAAGACTTACATGTAACAGTGAAATAATCAAAATATAATTTCACAACCAACAGAAATTTAAGCATTATATGCATGTATACACAGACTAAAATATTCCTAAAGGATATATACATGTATACATGGAATAAAATATTTCTTACTAATCTACATGTAAATAATAAAAATAACTAGAACTGCCACTATCATGGCGTGAATACCCCGCATACCACTTTGTCAGAATCAACAGTGGCCATTTAGAGCTCAAGGACAACCTCCCTGCCAAATCTGAGGTTACTAAGCCAGTGCATTGCTAAGTTATGTATTCTACATGCTTCAAATGTGAAAATGTCAAAATCAATACATTGCGGACAGGACATTCTTTAGCAATTGAGAAGAAAAGCTTTTTTTTTGTCAAGGTCCCTGTGACCTTGACCTTTGACCTCAAAATCAATAGGGGTCACCTTATAGTCATGATCAACATCCATGCCAAATATGAAGACCGTGGGCCAAAGGAATCTTAAGTTAATGGGTGGACAAACTTTTTGAAGTCAAAGCCCCTATGACCTTGACCTTTGATCCAGTGACCTCAAAATCAAAAGGGGTCATCTACTAATCATGATCAACATCCATGCCAAATATGAAGACTGTGGGTCAAAGGAATCTAAAGTTATTTGGCAGACAAACTTTTTGAAGTCAGGCCCTGTGACCTTGACCTTTGACCTGGTGACCTCAAAATCAATAGGGGTCATCTACTAATTCATGACTAACCTCCATGCCAAATATGAAGACTGTGGGTCAATGGAATCTTAAGTTATAGGCGGACAAGCTTTTTGAAGTCAAGGCCCCTGTGACCTTGACCTTTGACTGGTAACCTCAAAGTCAATAGGGGTCATCTACTAATCATGACTAACCTCCATGCCAAATATAAAGACTGTGGGTCAAAGAATCTTAAGTTATTGGGGCGGACAAGCTTTTTGAAGTCAAGGTCCCTGTGACCCTTGACCTTTGACCTGGTGACCTCAAAGTCAATAGGGTCATCTACTAACATGACTAACCTCCATGCCAATATGAAGACTGTGGGTCAAAGGAATCTTAAGTTATTTGGCGGACAAGCCTTTTGGAAGTCAAGGCCCCTGTGACCTTGACCTTTGACCTGGTGACCTCAAAGTCAATAGGGGTCATCTACTTATCATGACTAACCTCAATGCCAAATATGAAGACTATGGTCAAAGGAATCTTAAGTTATTGGGCGGACAAGCTTTTTGAAGTCAAAGGCCCCTGTGACCTTGACCTTTGACCTGGTGACCTCAAAATCAATAGGGGTCATCTACTAATCATGACTAACCTCCATGCCAAATATTACGACTGTAGGTCAAAGAATCTTAAGTTATTGGGCGGACAAGCTTTTTGAAGTCAAGGCCCCTGTGACCTTGACCTTTAAACCTGATGACCTCAAAATCAATAGGGGTCATCTACTAATCATGACTAACCTCCATGCCAAATATGAAGTCTGTTAGGTCAAAGGAATCTTAAGTTATTGGGCGGACAAGCTTTTTGAAGTCAAGGCCCCTGTAACCTTGACCTTTGACCTAGTGACCTCAAAATCAATAGGGGTCATCTACTAATCATGACTAACCTCCATGCCAAATATGAAGACTAAGGGTCAAAGGAATCTTAAGTTATTGGGCGGACAAGAAAAAAACGCCGGACAGCCGGACGGACGGACGGCCGGACGGACAAGCTGATTCCAGTATACCCCCCTTACAACTTTGTTGTGCAGGGTATAATAATTCATAACAAAATGAGCATGATGTATACATTATATCTTTGAATGAAAAAACAACAACAACAAAAACACCATTTCTTTACATTGCATGTATATAAATGAAAACACAACTGAAAGAAAAACATTATCAAGGTGACCAGGCTAAAGGTGACAAATTGATATACTTTACCTGACACTGAGCCTAAATATGCCATTTTACCTAAACAATATTCAAAACATGCCAATATGGATTTTGTTGAATTATTGTGGAAAAAAAATTACTTATCATACATTTTTTCCTTTGTTGATTACCTTAGTTAATAAGAAGTTAAATCAGAGCACCTTTGTGGCTGATTTTGTGTCCAATCAAAACATTTTTGTTGATAGACACATCATAACACATTGTTGATAACCATAGTTTAACAAGTGTCCAATCAGAACACATTGTTGATTTACATAGTTTAACAGGTGTTCAATCAGAACAGTTTTTTTTATACATAGTTTAACAGGTGTTCAATCAGAACACATTGTTGATTAACATATTTTAACAGGTGTTCAATCATAACAGTTTGTTTGATTAACATAATTTAACAGGTCTTCAATCAGAACAAATTGTTGATTAACATATTTTAACAGGTGTTCAATCATAACTGTTTGTTTGATAAACATAGTATAACAGGTATTCAATCAGAACACATTGTTGAATAACTTAATTTAACATGTGTTTAGTACCATAGTTTAGCTGTTTGTTTGTTTGTTTGTTTCATTTTACGCCTTTTTCCAACAGTATTTCAGTCATATAGGGGGGTAGTTTCCTAACCAACGTTCCTGGAGAGTTACACCAGTACTAGACTACCTTCCTCCGCGCTAAACTACCAAAGCATCTCCCGGGTATCGAACCCACGCCAGAGAGGTAACTGGATTAGAAGTCATCGACTCTAACCCCTCGACCACGGAGGCGGTGTCCATAGTTTAGCAGGTGTTCAATCATAACACTTGAAAACCTTATTTTATAAAATGTTCATTTATCAAACGTAAAAAATATTAATCATTTGTTTGATTTTTTATGTACATTTGTTGTTTTTTATACATATATGTTGTTTTTTATGCACATTTGTCTGGTTTTAATGCTAATGCATATTTGTTTGTTTCTTTATGCCAAATTCATTTCTGCAGACACTCAACAATTATCTATCATGCTACAGAATGCATTAATAAGGTCGACATATAGTCATGGAAGTCATAATATGAATTTGATTACATTTTGCTAAATTTATAATCAATAATTTTATATGCAACGCTACATTCTCCAGGTGATAAGCATCTAACATGCTTTAAATATTGACCTTTCTAAAGAAGGAAATAATTATTTATTTCTAGGGCATAAGCCTTTAATTAAGAAAGCCATGAATGCCTTTATGAGGTTACAGCATAGTTTAAACCTAGAGAATGTGTATACCAGCCATTCAAATGTCATAATCTTCTTTCCTAATAATTACGATGCCAAAACTAGTTAATTCCAGAAGGCAGGATTGAGAGTGGTTCAAATACATATAAGCTTTCTTTACAATTGAATTGAATATTTAAACCAGCCTGTCTCTTTAGTTTATGTATAAATTCATAAAATTTTATATCCTCAATTAATGCAGTACAGAAAACAGATATCACCTTAATCACACAAACAACCTGCTAGACTCTTTGGACTTCATCAATTTATCAACATAATAAAGAAATTAAGAATTGTAAAATGAAATTTATATAAATAATATTTTCTTTAATACTTACATTAAAAATTGTTTTATTCTGAGTTAAGATTTGTTACACAGGAAAATGTAGTGTCAGATCTGTAGCTGCCTCTTTAATATTGCTTGGGTTGTTCAGATTCTTTCTAAGGTCACATCTCTATTTATAAACTGTAACAGAAATTATTCAACATTTTAAGTAAATATGTAAAAAGCCTGAGCGGGGTCATAGGCCTCAAGATGGCTGTAGTGCTCTTAGATAACATGTATAACGTGAATAAATTAAATTGAAATCAATTTAAAATCAATAAAAAATATATATCTAACGAATTTGAGAAAAATCCTTAGTGCACAGGACGCTGCCATATTGAAATCCTTGTCACCATTTTGAAATCCTTTTGAGCTTAATATAGATATCAGGGCGCTTTTCAGCGTCTAGCTGTCCACATAATTTAGACTATTGCTATAAGACGCCCTAGTCTTCTGTGTCAAATAACACTTCCGGAACAAGAAGTATGATCAAAATCAGAAAATAAATAAACTTATCAATGATAAGAACTATTGTAATGATGGTGAATGTAAAGTTTAACAGTTACTTTTTCATATCCATTTTAATGAACAAGCACATTAAAGATAACTTTGAGATTAGAGATAATTAAAAAAATATCGGAAAGGATTTTCCAAAACTGCTTGAAGTTGTTCCCCTTTGCTCTGCCTCACAGAGCATAGCCAACCCAGGGCTGTTTTCCTTCTATAGCAGGGGCCGTTATAGGGCTGCTTCCCCAAAGTAAAATTCTTTAAAATCATGCAGTTTTCCCCAAAAATTGAATTTACATCACAATACACCCATTGACAGTCTCTAGTCTATAATATTATGAACAACATAAATAACCAAGGTTTATCGAGTGAAAAAAAACACAAGTTGTTTCCCTTATCTTCGAGTAAAATCGATATCTCTAATGCTCAAACAATGCAAATTTAGCCGTTTTTAAACCACTAGTTTGGGACGATTTTATGTCGGATTTTAAAGTTTATTACACCATTAACAAGCTTGTGATCCTAGCTTCCTCTCAGTATATATTTCAACATATTCAGACCTGTTTACACCATTAATGCCCTGTCAGTAGTCGGAAAGTGGTTTTTCAGTAGTTTTAGACACTTGTCAGTAGTTTCTAGGCCCTAGATTTATAACCATACTTGGTCACTCATTAAAGTCAGAAATGACAACAGGAAACAGTTAGACAGTAGCTGATTTCTTGCGTTTTACCGGCGATCCTCGCCTGCCGGGCCATTCAATTTTTGTTTCCCCATTTTAACATTTTTCCTTTCAGTTTCCAATGTACAATCCCGAGTATTCCTAATGCCAATTAAACACGAGGAGAGACGCTTGAATTGTTATACGCTTTTATAAGCATCCAGATCACCCAGAATGACACTATTCAGCGCAAAGTACTTAATTTATCGGAAAGTGCTCAATTAACGGAAAGAGTAAAAATTGACGATTATGACCAATTTCCGTAGAATTTTCATTATTTATTCGTAGTGCGTAGATTATGCGGCAAATCCGTAGGAAATACGGACAATCCGTAGAGGTTAACAGGTCTGCACATTGTTTGACACTGAAGGTATTTAAATTTACACTTAAACCTACCACAAGTCAGACCATTTTAAATACATTTTATACAGTGAGATACGCAATCGGTTATCTTTACTTGCAATTCTACTGATAAGAATAGCCTGTCGTCTGCTAGTTCGAAAACTGTCAATCTGTGTATTAAGGGCAGGGCTGCTTCCCCATCCTGTGAAAAAAAGCCCTGCAACCAAATCATTGTGAGGAGTTTGGAGATTTCCGGAAATATTCGTAGCACTCCATACATATGTACTGAACATGTTATGCTTGATATTATACTAAATCATTAATGCTTTCAGCACCACAGGTAGCACCTTATTCCATATTATTATCCTTTTCATACCATGTGTTTTAGAAGTCAAACAATTGGGACAAGTGAGCTCCATTTGTCAATACCCCCCCCCCCAGTTTATCAAGTAAGCAAACAATTAGTGAATAGAAACATAAATTTGAAACATTTTAAAAAGTATCTTTCATGTTTCCACATGTTGCATAAATTCGAACTCTTTTAATTTAAATTAGAATATTCTATTTCATTGATGAAAAATAGAAATGTTTTACAGCAAACATACAAAATTAGGAAGTGTCAGTTAAAAACCAAATATGATGCAGACGATCCTTAATGACGTCCAATTTCTGCCCCACCCATTTCTGAATTTGTTCCAAAGTTTGCAAACAGAAATGGATGCAAAAATTGATTCTTTTATACCAATTGTCAAATGAATATTATGCGATGTATTGTGAAAGACAAAAGTAACTTAAATAAATGACAAATCATTAAATTCCAACGCAATAAACAAGAAAAATACCTCAAGATTCTTGCAGAAATAGGATTCTATAGGATACTCTTTAATAATCCAATTGGAGATAATAATGTTGGATTACGTCTATTTCCCGTACCGCATCGTATTTTAATCGGAATGTTTCGGTTTCACGGTACTAAAAATTTGTTATCTATTCTACCAACAAAAAGTACACGTGAGTTGTAACCAAATAATAAAAGATATGGACCTAACTTTTGGGTCTTATTAGAAATAAAAAGAAAACAATAAAAACTGTTATGATACAAAATAAAATTGTAAGCATGTTTTCATGGTCTCAAATTAAGTCAATTCAGTAATAGTATATGATTGAAAAAGCAGATTTAATTTAAGAATGTCCATTGTAAAACAATTATAACCGAAATTGGCAATTTTGTTTTCTAAGAAATGTTTAAGTAGACTTGATAGAATAAGATAAAACTTGTCAAATATAGCATTCACAAACTATTTGTTTACATAATTAGTACTTTTAGCGTAGGTTCCTCCGAAATACCGTATCCTTTCTAAGTCCATGAAGTTGGCACAGAGATCGACATTAAACATTCAGCTCGACATTCGTTTTTTGTCTATTTTTGAATGTTGAGCTGGGGTGTGAAGCTGGCTAGACATTCACTTTTTTTCAAAAATAGAAAAAAAACGAATGTCGCCCTGAAATTTGTTTTGAATCTCTACCCACCCTTACACCCCAGCTCGCCCATTCAAAAATATAAAAAAAATCAAAAATTTTCGAGCTAAATTTTTTCTGCTCAGTTTTCTTGCCCCCACCCCATCCCAGCTAACAGTGTCCCGCCCCCCGAATGTAGCTGAATTTTTTAATGTCGATCTCTGGGGCCAATTTTCACAAACCTTTCCTTTCTTTAAATTTTATTCAACATGTTTTGGGGTTTTTAAGAGGTCCTAAAACTGTAAAAAAGTTTGTGGAAAAGGGGATTTAAAATTGAAAATTTTGACATATATAATTTTTTTTAAATATATCAGGTAAAATAAATTATTTTAAAAAGGGTTTGTTTTGAAACCCACCCAAAGTCGGTGAAAATTTATGCCGCATTTTTTTAAAACTTCCCCAAATTTTTGTTTTACAAATTTCCCAAATTTTAAAATCAACATCCCATTATTTAAACACTTTATTCTTTCATCTACACGTTAGGAGCTAACATTCGGTCGCCCCAATCTTATATTTGTCTAACGCTGATAGTTGCAAATAGTTTGTTACTGTAGAAAGTGAAAGACTAATATGCTTCAGTTAAAACATAAAAGCACAGAGATAGATATACAAGGTGGCGAGCGCTGATCTCAACGAGAATATACCGAAACTGAGGCTATACTCGTACAACAAATTACGGCTTTAATTAAAGTCGTGAGCAAATGGAGAAAAAACCTGTTTGGTTAAAATTGCACAACATTCAAAATGAAACGATATATACAGTGTGGCAATACCACGTGACATTGACGTCATTTTCGGCATCATTTCCAAGACAAATGTTGCTCGATTCGGAAAAGAAAATAGCCGTAAATATTTTATTTCTGTACCAATTTCTTTGGGATATGCACCAGTCTACGGGGAAAAATATAAGCTTTCCATAGAATATTGGATCTTCGTCAGTATATAAGCCGTTTTAATCAAACACTTTGCCTAACCTTGGAAGTTGCTTGTATTAGAGCGGGCTTCAGTAGCAGCTATTTCGTTTTCTGGCGTTATCTGGTCTACGCCATAATTAAAAAGTAAAGTTTACATCAACCGGGAGTACGGAAGGCAAAACTCTACCTAAATATGTTCATAATTTTTATTATGAATGACATAAATCTTACATTTTTCTTCAATTGTCAAATCTGGCACCAGTTTCAAGTCGAAAAAAAGGGACTAACAGTTTTAAAGCCGAATTTAGAATCGTTTGCAAATGCGAAGCAACATGCCCACCGTTCTTTTCTAACAAATTCAGTTTTTCATTGTTGATCTTTCACAGAGAGATTAGAAAAAAACTGATTGTTTCCTTAAAGCACAACACTTACTTGTTATCGCAAATAGTGCACGTCAAATCACGTAGATTTAGTCCTGTCGGAAAATAATGTTTGGTTTCGTTTTGAAGATGTTTTAAGTATTGCTCATGCTTTTCCTATGTAGTTAAATGTGTTTTTAATTCTATTTCACAATGGCGAAATTGATAAGAAATATTGTGCTCTCAGTGAGAGAAAGAGTTAATATAAAAACACTTTTGTATGATATGGAAAGGGTTACACTTTAACGCGAGTGTTGTTAAGCTAAAGGTATTTTTTTAGTTTATTCTGACAAACACTGACACTCGTGAATGTGACAAACAGGTTCTTCTGTCCTCAAAAGAGAGACTTTTAAAAGGTATATATTTTTCTGGAATTGTTGTACGAAGGTTGTTCAAAATGTAATAGGACTAAGAGTCTTATGTCTCCATATTCCATTAGATTTTAAATATTTTCATATCCATGACAATAGTTAATTGTTTTCTACAACTTCAGAATAAGTTTATTGAATTATTGCGCTAAACGCGTGTTCCCTGTGATATTAAATAACCATGGTAACACGCACCCAGCGAAGCGCATCAAAAATATTTTGACGCTAATTTGTACTTTCAGTTTATTCATTATATGTTCTCTTTTCCCCCCTAATATTTCACCAACACATTTCATCATATTAAAGTGTCATGTTGTCCAAATTTGACGTCATTCAGACAAGAAATCGCTAAACTATAACGTTTTGAAACAGCAGTGATAATCACGTTAAATGTAGAAAAATGACGTTCGTTGAAAAACTTAAAAATGTGTACGATCATTAAATTTTTTCCAACAGATAGGCCCTACTCCTTTAGCTACGTTCGAAAAGATTAAATTTTCACAGAACAATAATTAGGCAATTAGGAAAAACTCGTTTTCAGCTGGAGAAAAGCAGTTCAAAGACGGTGAATATGAGATCACAGACACGAAAGGGCTAGAGAGAAAGCGGAAAATTGACGGACGTTAGAGACGTTAATTGCAATAGCGCTAACAAAAGTAATCGGCGATATACAGTCCGCGAAACTGTCCGGCATGTTTGATGTTTGCATCGGGTATACTGTTTCAGTTCTAAGAAAAATTATTGAATAGGGGAATTTGTTTTAAACACTATTTTATTTTATTAGATATATGTGTGTGTGTGTGTGTGTGTTATCATTGAATAAATTTGATAATGATACGCGGTAATTATTGGTATCAATTTTTCTCGATTTCGTTAAATAAATGATAGCCTGTGCTCAGAAGAAGAGAATATTTTTCAATTAATAAGCATTTTTAATTTACTGTACATAATCATATTGTTTTAAGAATGTAAGATGGCATGTGTAAATAAATAATATAAATAACTTTGTCATTTACATTATATGTACATGCCCGTTTAGGTTCCAGAATACTCAAAATCACGAGATCAAACAGAAAGTTGCCGGCCACCGGGCATGTTTCGAATAAAGAAATGAAAATGTGATTGCTTTTTTTCGCTACATCTCCACAGATGAGTTCTGGTTATAGTTACATGATTCAAGCACCTAGAACATTGTGGAGAATAATTTCAGAAAGAATGACGCTGTTTACATTTTGAATTTATTTTGCGACGTCATGAACGTCATTTATTTAACAATTAGCGTGCGCCGGGTCGCGTACCCCTTGTCATTTGTAAGTTGTACAGAATTGTTGTTTTTAAACATATTGTATTGATTTTTTCACTGTATATAGAAGACAAATTCCGATATTCGATTTTTGTAAACTCGTGTACGTAGATGAAAAAATGTGAACAGTAGAGCTGCAGTCCTATCACTTTTTGAACAACCCTCGTATAATAAAGTTCTATAGAGTTTGTTATACTTAAACACAATTTGAACTTGGAACTTTGCCTTGTAAATCTGATAGAATTGTTACTTAGTTGCATTACTTATAATTCACTATTTATCAAAAAGACCCAAAATAGCCATGAATAAGAACGAGAATGGACGCCATGTGGAGTAAACAAAGTAGAAAATAGTTAACAGATAAATGATTTTACAAACCAACATCCATCGATCAAAATCAAATTTCTTGAAACAAAACATTCAACAAGACGGAAATAACAATGATTATCAATAATTATATAAATATTTACATTAACATCTGTAATAGCAACATCGGCAAGATCTATGACTGGGGTCCATATGCCACTGATGCGTCCATTGAATAATTGATAGCTAACATAAGCTTAGTAAAATTACGATTACATTTGAAGAGTAATTTCAATTCTTATCCTTCAACTGTCAAATGACTTACTTCTTTATTTACATATCAGATAATTCACTTATTTAGTATATGTGTCACGTTTATCATGTTTTAGATTTTAATGTGCGATCCTTTTTTAATCTTAAAATGCTACAAAAAGCCTGTCTAGGACATTTGCAGGTTATGCCGCGTGCAATAATCCATGCATTTACAGCCAATGGTCACATCGATAAGAAATAGTCCCAAATAGCCCTGTCGTTTTTATTCAGTTGAAAGAGACATTATTGTTAAAAATTCTACTCGATTTAAATGTTTTCAAACCACAAATATTCCGTTCCCATCCTCTCTTTACAATGCATATTGGTGAGCTCTCTGAAAAAGCTGAGTTGACTGATATAATTAACTAAATTTGTCAGATATGCAGTTCATCAACAGAAATAAATGCAATTATAAAATAGATAGTGTTTAATAGTGTTCTTAAGTTAACGAAGTTATATCAAGTTCACGAAAACGGTTACCGTGGGTATGAAAACAGGATGTAAAAATATTTTTATCAACGAGTGCCACTGTGTTAAAAAGCTTAATCTATCATACTAAAAGATTGCTACAGGTTCTTTATATATATAAAGGCTCTTTACAAAAGAATAACATTTGACGTTAAAATTGCCGCGTCGAGGCGTAACCCTTTTTACAGCATACAAATCGAAGTGATCCGGAATGTGCACGTTCATTGGACAGGCTAGCTAAGTCAATCAGAGCCTGAAACATTTTCAATTTTGCCGTTTTAGGGGAAATTTAGGGTTTCTGTTTTCTATTCCATGTTTAGTATTGCTACATGACACAAATAAATGTTTCATAATCATTACCGTGAAAGAACAATGATTAAAGAGTAAATCAATTTCTTTACAAATACTGCAGTACAGACAACAATTTTACTACTTTTAAAATCACTTAAATATCGCAGCGAGGAAAAATTATTTAATATTCATTTGTGTTTATGTAAATTGTATAGAAAATAAAAAGTTTTTCATGGTTAACATAATTATAGAAAGAGAACAGTAGGCATGTTGCTTCGCATTTGCAACGGATTCTAAAATCGGCTTTAAACTGTAGTCCTTTTTTTCGACTTGGAACTGGTGCCAGATTTGACAATTGAAGAAAAATGTAAGATTTATGTCATTCATAATAAAAAAATGAACATATTTAGGTAGAGTTTTGCCTTCCGTACTCCCGGTTGATGTAAACCTTACTTTTTAATCATGGCGTAGACCAGATAACGCCAGAAAACGAAATAGCTTGCAACTGAAGCTAGCTCTAAAACAAGCAACTTCCAAGGTTAGGCAAAGTGTTTGATAAAACGGCTTATATACTGACGAAGATCCAATATTCTATGGAAAGCTTATATTTTTCCCCGTAGACTGGTGCATATCCCAAAGAAATTGGTACAGAAATAAAATATTTACGGCTATTTTCTTTTCCGAATCGAGCAACATTTGTCTTGGAAATGATGCCGAAAATGACGTCAATGTCACGTGGTATTGCCACACTGATATACAAGTAGAAGGGCTTTCATCGACAATTTTTTCACAAACCTCCCTATTTACATGTCCATACATGTAACCTGACACTTATAAATACATTTTCCATTAATGATTGTTGTAATAACGACCATATTCTTTTATTATGGACATGCGCTTTTATAACGGTATTGCAGTTTTTATAACGGCTATGTTCTGTTAAAAAGCAATATCATACAACACATAATTCGACGGTGGCACAGAGGTGACATTTGTGTGTTTTTATTTATCTCGTGCGACGAGATACTATGTCGTGCACACAAGTTACTAAGTCGTAGTCACGACTTATTTATCTCGTCTCGCATGACATAGTAAATCGTGCGAACGACATAGAATCTCGTGAGCAAGAGAGAAATAAAAACACACACATGTCAACTCTGTGCCACCGTATAATTCAACTGGGATATACGATAACGATTATCGTATGTCCCAGAATTCAATCAACATCGTAATGCTATTTGATATGGAGAGAAATGACCACCAAAACAATAAGCACAGGTTTGGTTAAATCGTAAGTAAGCGGGTATGACTTATGTACGAAAATGACTTTTATGAGTGAAAGGAAGCGTAATTAAGAATCAGCGCTCATTTTATTTTCGGACTGTCACACTGTTTATATCTACACTCTAATTCGACATTGAAGAATTAAGTGAAATACAAGCTGGCACTATTAAAGAGATGTGATTATCGTTGAATTGGTCACATCAGGAAATTTGAACGCTACCAGGAGGACGGCTTTTATATACATGTACACCTAATATGGCTAAGTCTTTCAGTTAAAAAATGAACATGTACATTCAATATGGCAATCAATTAGAAGGTAATTTAATCAGGTAATCTCAATTTCATATACATTGCATTCTTCCTAATTATTTCTGTTATTTTGAGACTATTATGTGGTTTAATAAAGGAATCGATTAGAAAAACAACTGCCATATAGAATTCGTTTGTTTTGGCCTGATGAATAATCCGGAAATCGTGTCCCTATATTACAAAATTTCTAATAAGTCACTTTATGAACAATGTAATTATATCATTATAACTATTTATTGGGAAAATGGCGTGTTTGCTTCCTTGGAGTACATTCGCAATTACCAAATCAGATCTAGTGTATAAATGTATTAATAACATGCAAAATCATTTGGACAACTAATAGTATATTGCGAAATTATTTCAACGGGTCTGTTTTCGCAATTCCAATGGTTTGACTAATGATTTGACAGAGTGATTGTCGCTAATAAAAGAGCTTTCGCGAATCTATTGTCCAGAGGACTGTATAAAAGCCGTCATACTTGTGAATCGCGGCATATTTATCTGAAATGGTGAAAAGACCTGTTACCACAAGATTATATGTTCTCCTCCTTTTGAAATTAAAAGCTTTTAATAAAAGTTCTGGACCATCGTGTTGGAAAAAAGATCGAGCCTTGCGTTCTGATGTAGATTATTTTGCTTGTGTTCAAGTGTCGTCTGCAAATATGCCAGAAACGACGTAAGTAAACTTTAGAATTTGTTTCAGAAAATCTTTGAGTATTGTTTGAATATATATTATATTATTAAAACTCTTTTTTCCCGGGGGTGGGGCACAATATAGTATATGCAATGACCAGGGGAAGTAACATGTATTCGAGTTTGTTGGACAGCGCATATTTCAAATGTATTTTCTACCTTAAAGTAATACTCATTTGATTTTTGTACGGCCTACATGTAGATATAGTTTTTTAAAGAAAATAAAGAATGTACATTTGGTTCATTTGAAAGATAGATGGCAGACGTGAAATCAATCTAGACATGTTTGTTTTAAATCCTGTTATTTTAATTGACACATGGTAATAATTTCTTGTTATATAAATTGTTTAGAAGGCAACATTTCAAATAACGAAATGTTATTGGTTTTGTGCTTCATACGTTAATTATTTCCTTAAATAAAATCATCGTCACCACAACCACCATCATCATCATCATCATCATCATCATCATCATCGTCATATCAGTATCTTAGCATTCATTGCTTCCATATTTGATGGTCTTAAATTTGTTCAGTACAAATTGTTTTTGCGTTAGTGAACTTTTAAAAATTTTATTTCGTCCATTTTGATGACTACATCTTTTTTATATTGCATATGTCACAGATCTACAGTGAAGATGCTTCTATATTCAACCATATTTATGCGCAAACTTTGTTAATTGACCCACAGCAAGACCGAATTTGATAAGAGACTTGTGTATTTTGTTCTTTAACAACGGGTTTATTCATCTAAAGGACGAAAACAACGATAAGGTAAGTGCAATCAATGTAATCTTGAATGTGGCGACCGTAAAAATCGCCCATTACGTCATTTTGAATTTTGTGTTATATTGAGGCCGTAAAACTTCTTTTACGACATTTTGAATGTTGTGTTACGTGGCGGCCTTACAAATGGCCCTTTAATTCATCTACTTAATTAAAAGTTTTTTCATCATAAATTCTTATATTTAACCATAGAGTTAAATACTGTTTATGCTGGTACGTGCTACCACAAATGTTTTGTATTTTACTTCTTGTAAGGAATTCATGGCTCGTTCAGATAAAGTTAATTTTTAAAAAGTTAATGATTAAGTATTCTCCGTTGAATATCACTAGTATACGGTCTCAATTAAGAACATGTTATTTTACGACCTTAATGGCATTTATACAAAATGCTTAGCTATAACTGCATTTACTTTCTTTTCAGAAAGCGCCATCTGCTATTTCTTTAGCTGTATTTTTGGCTTTATATATTTCCGTTTCCTTTATGAACTATGGGGAATCTAGACGTTTTTATAGAGTATCAAATTCATTTGTTTATTGACAGTATATTTTTACCATTTTTGTTAGTTCTTGGGGTAGCCGGCAATATTCTCATTATCATTGTTTTATTAAAACCCAGGAATCGTGACTCTTCAACGGCCAGGTTACTATTAGCCCTTGCAATATCTGATATATTGGCTCTTGTCATCTCAGTACCTTATAAATGGCTGGACACCACGTATAGTATCAATATCAGAGAATTTTCAGAATTGGGTTGTAAGATTCACCTTTTTATATCAATGCACGTCGGTCAGGTATTTACATTTTCTATATTGGCTATATCAGTTGAGCGATTTATCTTCTTGATGTTTCCGTATAAAGCAAAGACAATATGTTCACTACGGAACATAAACCTGGTTATTTTGGTCATTCAACCCGTGTCGCTCATCATTGGCGGGCATTTATTTTATGGGGTGCGTTTATCGGAAACTGGTAAATGTGCTCTCATACAAGAACTCTATAAAGTCGGGATTTGGAGGGCGTGGCAGATATTGAATGTTGTGGGTGCACTTTTTGTCCCTTTCGTCATCATGGCTGTCACAAACACAAGTATAATAGTCAAGTTGATTTCCGGAAATTGTACATGGTGCAAATGTCTAAAAACAAAAGAAAAGCAAAAGGGGTTGGCGGTAAAGAAAAGGTCATCTCAGATTACTGTTACCCTTATGATAGTTATCTTGACGTTTCTAATCTGCGTTATACCCCTGGGCATTTATTACATAATGTTCAGCGGTCAACAATGGCAGCATGAGGAGACTCACCGCGACGCTGTAATTTTGTTGTTTTGGTCGGTGTCCAGTGGCCTCTTTCATACTAACAACGCGGTCAATTTCTTGATTTACTTCCTCAGCGGATCTAAATTTAGGAAAGAGTTGAAGTATTTATGTTGTAACAAGCAAACTAAAACGACACAAGCCTTCATAGAGGAGAGAACACCGTCTGCGCAGACTGTAGAATCATTGGTAAAATATTCAAAATAACTGCGGTAAAAATGATATTGATATATAAATATTACATTGAACTACCGGGGATTTCTGTGCACTTTACTTGAATAAAGAAACTAGCAAATTTCTTATCAAAACTTGCAAAAATAAATGAAGAAATAAATAAAAAAAATAAACTTAAAATTTCATACAGAAGTTTTAGTTCAATTCAAAGGCCATGATATGCTATCTTTTCATTGGACAAAAAATACTGTGTTTTCTTTTCATTGGTCCATGATATTAATTTTACTTTCTTTTCATTGGTTCGTGATATTGTGCTTTCTTTTGACTGGACTGGTCCATGATATTGTGCTTTTTTTTGACTGGACCGTGATATTGTGCCTTCTTTTGACTTATACATGATAATGTGCTTACTTTTCATTGGTCAACGATATTGTGTTTTCTTTTCCTTGGTCGATAATATTGTGTTTTTTTCACTGGTCCATGACATGATACTTTCTTTTCATTGGTCCACGATATTGTGCTTTCTTTTAATTGGTCCGTAATATGGTGCTTTGTTTTTATTAGTACATGACATGATACTTTCGTTTCATTGGTCCACGATATTGTGCTTTATTTTAATTGGTCCGTAATATGGTGCTTTGTTTTTATTAGTTCATGATTTTGTGCTTTGTTGTCATTGGTCTTTCATTTCATTGGTCCGTGATACGATGCCTGTTGTATTGACTTTGACTTTAATACATGTATATACAAATGAAAATTTTATCAAACAATGGCTAACTAGACTTTTAGTTTATAATGCCGACAAAATAGAGGACAATTGTATAGTTCAGTATAAGATCGGAATAAATTTCATTTAGTGAGCACCAAAAGATATATTATGAACTTTTGGTGTTCACGAGGTGAATTATATTTCGATTTTTCACTTTACCAAACGTTTTTTTATTATATGAAAAGAAACGTTTAAAAAGACATTTTAACCTAATACTAAATGAAAATCGTGCTAAATAAAAATACAACGTGACGTCATAAAAATAAGCCATTAAGATGGTTTCCAGCATTATACTCGCTGGTATTTCACTGAAACAACGTAACGGGCTTAAATTCAAAACAGTGAAAAATATCAAATTGATAATTTCACTGTTTCAAACTGAAATATCAGTTTTATATTTAAGGGATACAAATGAATTTGACGAAAATTTACAAAATTCCCATGTGTACCAGATAGGCCATATTGATGCTTTATGTTGTAAAAAAGCCAAAGATATAGATCTGTAAGAAAACCATCTAGTGAAGACCTATGAGGCATATTAGCGCTTTGCAGTACTACAAAAGCAAAACCAACAACATCAGCTGCAGCATCAACTGCAAAATCATCATCATCAACAACAACGAAGTGAAGTTTGTCGCATTAAACATACAGAATTCTGTAACAAATATGCAAGGGTCTTACAGTCATCAAAGGTAAATGTGTCCATCATATACCTAAAAAGAAAGGTTTTTAATCATGTATCTAAAACTGTCATTTCTCTAGACCATGGCAGAACTGTGTGATTTCTAGTGATAAGGCAATTATTTGCATATAAATTAATAGTTTGCTTAAATAGGATCTCTTACAACGCTACGCTTTATGCACATGTAAAAATCCGGATTTTAGTCAAGACAAACTAGATATATAATGCTTCATTTTTATAAATTTTTATTTCAGATTGAATCTATAGAAACGGGCAAGCCCAATGTGGGGATTAAAGAGAAGAATAAATAGTGATATGTGAACCCTTAAACTTTCACTCGACAGGGCAGAAATATAATTATTCCATGCTTTATTTGAGTTATAAACGTAAGGGATGTACGTATTATAGGTGTAATATAGGGGTCACCAACCACTCACCAACGTCACCACTTTCCTTTGTTGCATATGACGTCACCACTTACCCACGATACCACTCACATATAACAAACTTGAGCGACTGCGTGCACTAGGAACGTTATGATAATACCAATAGTGTTTTCATAAGGCAATATCATGGAGTGCAATGTAAGACTTTGGTATCTGTTACTCATATGTATGTTTCATATATACATGTATAAATTATTCATTCATAATAACGGACGGAATAAACCTAATCCAATGCAAAAAGACCCGTTCAAAAAGCTTGCTGTTATTAAAACTGTTATAAGGGATCATCTTTACACTTTATAAAAGACCAGCTTCTTGCGTAGACCGTGCTACCATTGTTATGCTTAAAAGTAATATATAACACTTATTCGTAAATAAATGTATGTACAAATTGTATTAAAATTGCATGTTTGTGTAAACATACAATATGTACCTTTTCTGAAAGTATTACGAATATATTTTCGTCCTAAGTGAACCGAGCCCTTTAATCATAATTTGTTGAATGTTTTTTACTGATGCGGTACATTAACGAATAATTCATGGAACAACTGCGTGTATGTGACCAGACGATCACTTTCAACACACTGACTTTCTTGGGGTGTATGTGTTCGAAGGTCCACTTTCAACAAGCCGTTCTTGTTGCATGTATGTGTTCACACGTTCACTTTCAACACGCCGTTCTAATTACTCTTATAAGCATTATTCACTCAATATTACTCCATAAACACATCATATAATATGAGCATTACTCATAAGCATTGTTACTCACTTTGTTTTCAGAACTCACTGAACAAAACACACAATATGAGCATTTCACATTTCATTAAAGGCACATTATGCCTCAAAAACGAATAACATTTTCTTTCTTGAGAATTATCAAACACGAGTTTTATAACGTTTACATAGTAGTATTTGAGCATGCCTGAGGCTATTTACCTTAAAAGAGTGTTGAATGTGAAATTACTTGTCATAAAAGTAGCAAAATGTAAACAAAGTAGTATCTTGGCGTCCATAATCACTAGAACTGTTCTTATTCCCTAAAAATCAAAGGAATATGTTTCAGTTTGTTGGCAAATGAGTAACATTTCGGATACTATAATATTACACAAAATAAAAAAAGCTTTTAAGAAATAAAATAAAAGCATTTCTGGACAAAATGTGCTTTTAAGCACTTGCACACACTTTATGAACAATACCCACTGAACAAAACCACACTATGAAATTTTTTTCATGAAGCAATTTTTGTGAACATTTCTCACGGAACACAACACATATTATATACAATTCGCATTTAGCACTTTTACTCACAATTCAAGTAATTTCAACCCTATAAACAACTGTTCACAGTTTTTAAGGCGCAATTCAAATATGATAGTTTATTTATTTAACTTCTATAAACAAAGATTCCTTTATTCTAAGGCGCAATTCAAAATGTTACGTCATTCATTTGCCTTCTGTAAACAAAGGTCGTACAATTCTGAAGCGTAACTCAAACTATTCTAAGGCGGAATTAAAAATCTTACTTTATTCATTTCAAGTTTGTAAACAATAGTTAACCATTCAAATAATTGACTTTTTTATCTTACTTTCTTTCAACAAAAGTTTATAATTCTAAAAGCGTAATTCAACTAATTAAAGTTCTATGAAGAATTGTCCATAATTCAATGAATAATTATAAGGCGCAATTAAAAACCTTACTTTATTCATTTCACTTTTGTACAGAAAGGTTCACAATTCAGATAACGTACTGACTTTATTTTCATAACTTCTATAAACAAAAGTTCACAATTCTTAAGCATAATTCAAAATCTGTACTTAAACTTCTATAAATGTTCTAAGACATAACCCGAGATATACGTATTTTTCTCCTTACATATACTTCATAAACAAATGCTCATAACTTCAAGACGGAATTCAAATAAATATTCATTTCTTCACTAACATCACTAAAACAAAGATTAACAATTCTAAACCGTATAGCAGACATATCTAGCTGCTTCCGGTTCGGTAGTTTTTAAACCAGTCCAGCGTTCTTTGCCATTCCATAGAAAACACCATTCGTGTCTTTTAAAAGAGTTTTCGGTGAGTCGAATTCCTTAATCAAACCAGCGTCCAAAACCATAACTCTGAAAAATAAAGAGGGTCAATTTCAGTGATTGTTTTGAAATACGAAACTACATGTATATAATCTCCAATTTAGTCATATGTTTCTTCTGAAATCAACATTTTAATAACCATTTCCAGTCGATATGATTGAATACTTATTTGCCCTATATACATGTATTTGTGTTTTGCCAATCGCAACGTTCGGCCCTTTCCGTCAGCCTTCGGATAAGCTATTTTAGAATATAGCTGAAGGCATTCCGAATGGTGTTTGCAACACACCAAAAAGTTTGGGTTAGTTTTCGAGCAGTCCTACTATGCGAATAGGGTCCGAATAAGTCTGATCAGAGAAAATTTTCATTAAAGTTCAACAATGTTCAAATAATCGTGAAAGTCCGTCATATTTCGTCATTTTCCGTGTTGTTTACAAATCAAATAAGCGTCGGTAAAACCAGGAGCAACATCAAATTCATTGGAAATGATTGGTTTCAATATGAATATAAGAATCCCGGAAAATGACCAAAACTGCCGCTTTTCTTCACGATTTCTTCCGATTTTCGTTAAAATGATTTATTATCTTGTGGATAATTACCTATTGGAAAGCTAAACAATTCACAAATTACCTGTCATAATCCATAATGGTGTTCAACCTATGAGCTACAGTGATGATCGTACATTCCTTAAACTGTACGCGGATAGTGTCTGAAAACAGTAACATGTAATAATGAATATATAATTGTATATGCAAGTAGAATAAACTTTATCTTTGTCAATTATACTACAATTTATTAATAACACGCATATACATAATTAACTTTTAATACGCCGTAATGCTGTCTGCTAGGTACGTCTGCAACCAGAACGTTTTAGATTGGTACTGTCCAGTTTGCCGTACATTTTGGAACTGCTAAGGCTACTTTTGGTAGAAGTAAATGAACATTAATTCTGAACAAGTTTTGGAGAAATTAACCAATGAAATGTCTTGATATTTCCTAGACATGATTAAAGACGCTCAAGTTCATTGGCAGTGCTCCAATGTTAGAACATGTGTTTCCGGGTCCTTAACCATTTCGATTATCCAATGAAAATCGGCGTTACAAATGTTCAGTATCGTATGAATAAACGAACCTTGTATAAGATCATCTGTCTCCATATCTACAGCGGCTGTAGCTTCGTCAAGTATAAGAACACGTGTTTTATGTAGCAGCGTTCTTGCTAAACATACCAGTTGTCTCTGTCCGACACTGAGAAATATAGGCAACAGAGAAAATGATGGAATACACAATAATACACAATAAAAAAGTCCTTAATTATCATTATTATTATTATTATTATTATTATTATCATTATAAGGGGTGTCACAGTCAGAGAAAATGCAAACAGTGTGAATGGCGACATAATAACCGTGTTAAACGTTTAACCGACCATACTAATAAAATCCTTAGATTTTCAACATTAACTTTGTTACTTTATGACAAGATATGCCATTTTGTTCGTATTTTTTTTGTACAATCATATCTAAAAATGGAGTAACAATTTTCCGCTAGGATCATGCCGTATTCTATCAGATTTGAAAAATACATTGTTGAGTACAACTTAAATACAAACAATTGTCATATCTTTTATAAAGAAAACTAAGGTAATATTAATAATCAATTTATAAATTTTCCACTCCATAGTCAAATATTAACCTCGGTTACCGGCTATTGAATTTTCTAACCGGTTTTTAGCTTAAAACCGACCGTACCCGTTTAAACGGATAAACGTGACACTCCTACTTATTATTGTTACCATCATTATAAAAATCACATGTTTCAAAAAAGTGTTTTTTTATATATATTTTGTTAGTAAATATCTGTACAACGTACAATGAGTGTGAAAATTATTAATCCTTATACTCGTAGATACGCTAATGATTAAAACCTGTTATAAAACTGATGGTTGTTTGTATGATAACTTGACAACATAACAAACAGTAATATTATTGTCAAACAGTTCATTGGAAATGTGACTATCCTTGCAAATATAATCAATCCATATTTTTGTTAATGTAAATACACTTAACATGTACATGTAGTTTACTTACTAACTGCAAAACTAATTTTGGCGGTTTTTCCCCCCATGAAAACCGTGCTTGAATAATGAATAATGCAATATGAGTTTTATGCGTCATTTTACCAAGTACATCAGCACTATTCACAAGCCAATCGACATTTACTTAAAATGTGACTTAAAGTAAGTATTCCCATCCATCCACCCCGCGTGTAACTAAGTAACAACCTCTTTTTCAAAAAATTACATATATGCTTTTTTCTTGTTATATTGTAAGATTCATTGACCGGATAATGTACCTTGTTTGTGCTATTATAAATGGTGTAATATTCCCATGCTGTAAGACATGGTATCATAATGTACCTGGATGAATAAAAGATATGTTATATGTTCTATTCAGTTCTGTTCTGTCAAAAACTATTCTCATAAAACAAGTTATAGTCATTTCTTAACTCCGAATTTTAATAGTAAAGAAATGTTCAAATCTTATAGATCACCTGAGGTTTTGACCACCCTCGCCACACTCATAATCCAGACCAGCCTCGACCCCGTCAACAAAACTCTTCAGATGAGCACACTCCAAAGCGTACCAAATGCTCTCGTCGTTGTAACGTCCAAACGGGTCAAGGTTACTTCTTAATGAACCAGAGAACAGCACGGGATCCTGTTTAAAAATACCATGAATAAGTAACTTAAGTAAATACTTATTTATTTCCCTTGTTTGTACTGAAATCCAAAACGACGATCAGCGCATTCCAGTGTTAATTTTGAAAACAGAGTTGTCGTCTGTCCCTAATAAAACGTAAGAAATTTACTCAAGGGCATATCATTGTAACACTTTAAGAAAGTCAAGACTACCTTCATTTAAAAATGATGCATTAAATACATTTTTTAATCGGTACTCTATAAATAACTTTGTCTGACGCCAGTCCCCGTTTTATTATTTCAGAAACAAACTGGCATCTGTTTAGAACCATCGACGGCCCATAAGCTAGCTGAATAGTTTCCTCACATGACGGAATCGAAACCAAAGCGGTGAGGATTGCAATTTCAAACTTATAAAATTAAGCTGAACAAAATAGAGCTTGACTATATTGCAATAATGTGCAGCACAAGAGCTTGTCGGGAGCAAATGATGCTTAAGTGCCAAATGATAAGCGCTCGTTGAGGCTAAACTGTCAAAACTTTGTAGTACTTTATTTTCCGTTATTCATTTTAAGGAGTTCACAAAAGTCTTTTGCCGCAAAAATTCCAATCCTCACTGATGTGGTTTAAATTCGTTCATGTGCGGAAGCTATTCAACTAGCTTATGGTTCTACACAGATAATGAACGGAGGCTGGCGGCAAACAAGGTAATTTATTGCCTATTAAAAAGTTTATGTAAAGCATCATTTTTTAATTTACACTATAGCTAAGATAATTATGAATATCGCAGGTTAGTTAAAATAGTTGGTAAGTTTATAATAACTGACCTGTGGCAGGATAGTTAATTTTGACCTCAGATCATGCAGGCCGAGTTTGGATATATCTACGCCGTCTATAAGAATTGAGCCTCCAGCAGATTCTACCAGACGAAACAAACACAGTGTGAGAGAGGATTTACCGGCCCCTGTTCTGCCAACAATTCCTATCTGTAAGTTAAGAAAACAGAGATTTTTCTACAGACATGATAGTATAAATAAACTTTTCTGTCGATACAAAATTATTTCCCTTGTTTCTATTGAAATCTAAAACGAGGCAAATGAGAGTTAAAACGAGGCACATTTCCGGTTGATTTAAATCACGAAAGTTATGCCATTACTTACATAACAAACAGTGACAAAGTTACACTTCCTTCTTTGGACGTTTTTAGAAAAATGTTAAATTATTCGACCGTATGAAAATTATTTCTAGATGTTACAAGATATCTTGTTTTTCAAATTTAATGAAACCTAAACATCCATTCATCACCATGAATATGAAGATTTGAAAAGTAAGAAAAAGTAAATTGCATTTGAAACAGAATGTTTATAAAATGGGGCACCTTCTCTCCGTCTTGGATCGAACAATTAATTCCTCGCAAAACAAGGTCCAACCCCTCTCTATAGCGAGTCAGATAGTTACGGAACTCTATTGTCCCAGATCTAGGCCAGTCTATTGGTGCCCTTGCCGTATCCAACACCCATCCAGCCTATATAATGTATGTTTAATATGTTTTACATATTTACAAAGATAGAATATGATTTAAAGATATTAATACGATTTTGATTAGAATATGATTTAAAGATATTAATACGATTTTGATATACATACCAATTTTTTTCAAATACTTTGTATATTATCAACATTTAATTCTAATTTTATAAGGTAAATTGTATATTATCAACATTTAATTCTAATTTTATAAGGTAAATTATATATTATCAACATTTAATTCTAATTTTATAAGGTAAATTGTATATTATCAACATTTATTTCTAATTTTATAAGGTAAGACATGCTAGTATTCAGATTTGACATATAGGGCTTTCTGTACCAATACTTAAAATATGAACTAAGTAATACCATACTTGGTTTGTGACAAGGCAAAATGACCATCTGAGCTACGTTTTAACAGGTGACGATTTTTTTATTATTATCAAAAACACGGCTTTAAGAAATGATATCAAGTAATTTAGAGCCACACAGCACAATATCATTTATAGATATAAACAATGATTCCAAGTAATTAAGCAAAAACATAGATTTGTTTAAACAAACCTCAGACGGCAGTTTTGTGTACTCTTCGACTCTTTCAGCAGACACAATGTTCATCTCCATTTCACTGATAGCAAGTACAACAAGGTTTAGAGTTATCGTAATCTGTAATGAAATATTAAACGAAGAGTAATCAATAAAACAGTAAGAGTAAAACATCAGCGATCAATACATGAAACAATCATCAGTTAAATAACGGTAATCAAAACGGAAAATCAGCACAGTAAAGACATATCAATAGAATCAAAAGCACAAATCAATGACTTTACAGCCGAAACGAAAGCGCAGAACAAAGAGATGACAACAGAATAAACGTGCAGAACAAAGACATGGCAACGAAAACTCACACATGGCAGAAAATAAAATTACAGACTAATATGACAACAGAATAAAAGCGCCGAACAAAGACATAACAACAGAATACAAGTGCTGAATACAGATATAATGACAATAAAAGCGCGGAACAAAGACATAACAACAGAATACAAGTGCAGAATACAGATATAACAACAGAATAAAAGCGCAGAACAAAGACCTGACAAAAGAATAAAAATACAGAACAAAAACATTACAACGACAAAAGAAAAAGCACAATAATAAAATCTCAGAACGAAGACTTGACAATAGAGTGCATAACAAAGAAATGGAAACCAAATAAAAGTCCACAGCAAAGACATGGCAACATGTTTTAAAGAGCAGAACAATAACAGACGACAGAATAAAAGGGTGTTTAGCATATTTTCAATATACCATTTATTTCGTTTTACCTACCTGGACAGCATATGTTATTGACAGACCAACTTGAGCCCCATTAAGTTCATCAGAGATAAGTCCAAACACAGCAGCTAACAGTGCAATAACGTTTCCAAGAGTCTCCAGTCTTATTCCTATCCACCTGTAGTTTAGGATAATACACATTTAGAATTGTATCCCACTTATAATTGTATCCCACTTATAAGTGGTACAATACAAGTATTCCAAAGAATCTTTAAGCAATAGCTATAAGATTTGACACGGACTTCCGGTACAGACCGGAATATCTGGCACGAGAGTAACTGATTATAGCGGTAAGGAGCATCTGCCGCCGGTGTCAACGGTAAATGATTTTATCTGATGTGCAAGAATCTTTTGATCCATCTGGATTGATATTTATACATATATATCCATAGATCATATAGGTATTTACAATTGAAATGTGATTTAAAAATAGTAGGAAAATCTTGGCCTCAATTCAAGCCCTATACAAGTGTTAGCCTTGTTAGATCTTTCTAATTTTCATATGGCGATTATCAACATATTGAATAAATAAGAACTAGTTTTTGTCTGGCCCATGATGATGAAAATGGTGTAGACGGTGATAATGTTTGTGATGATACTAATGATGATGGGAATGATATTGATGCGCACGACGGGGATGACTGTAATGACAAATATGAGTATGGTGATGACAATGATAATAAGTAAAATGATAATGATGGCAATGGTGATTTTGATGATGGTGGATATGATAATGGTAACCATGACAATAACGGTGATAATAGTAATGATGATGATAATGTAAAAGATGATGGTTGCATTGATGATTGAGATAATGATAATGATGGAGATGATAATAATTATGGCAAAAATGGGGATAATGATGATAAAAATAATATATGTAATGAAAATGATGATGATGAAAATGATAATGGCGGTGATGTTGAACATAATGATAAAGGTATACCTTGCTCCAGTATTTGATGCGTAATAAAACTTTATATTCTCGTCAACTCGTTTCCTTGACTCGTTGATAAATCGCTCCGAACATCGATAAGCTCTAATAACGGCTGCACCAGTGATTGTTTCACTAAAATAAAGACAATTTAGTAATTTGGGTTTAGAAACCCGATCATACTTCATTTTCAATTTTGCTAAATGGGTGGTAATTTATAGATTCTTTGTTTAAATTTCTTCTCTATTTTATAAATCGTTTCGTTTTTTCATTTGACTAAAACCCGTATATTTCAAATTTTCTATATTAAAAGTATATTTTGTCAGCTTATATGTGAACAAACTGTGTGTTTTTTTTTCTTGATAATTAAAAGATTAAAGGTAGGAAAATTCCATGCGATACTTGCCTAAAATGATTGTATATTGGCGATCGTTTGACAGACTCCGTTCGCCGCATTTGTCTTGCTGTTGGGAGGTAAAATTTCTGCAAAATATTTTAAAGAATTGTACTTTTAAATACATCTAGTTTAATCACTTAGCATTTATGATCATTTTGCAAGATGTTAAACGTTGTTAAACTAAAGAAAAGACGAAAGCCTTGTGTACCCACGGCGCTTCCATTCCCGAAGAATAGTTGACATTGACTTCAGGACTTTCAACGCCATTGTAAAGGCTCAGTCCTGTGGGAAAATCCTGCTCAAACCAGGCCAATGCAATTAAGACCAATCCCAGTCTACTTTGGCGCCAAAAGACAACATTCATAATGCCCAAGCAGTGCCAGGACAGACAAGATATAAAAAAATCGGCCCATTTATCTGGCTGTCTCCCGCACTTTCTCGGGGTAGGTTGGCTGTGTCGTACGTAACTGATAAGTTAATTAACTAAATATCATACCACGGCAAAGGCAAACAATATTGCAACAGGAATAATGGCTGCTATGAAAATGGGCGTGGTTATTCCAACTACGATGACGACCGCAAGCGTAGAGAAAACCATAACGCTCCATAGTCGGAAACTCTCGGGCAATTTATTGTCCATGATGTCGACGTCACTTGAAAATCTGGTAATAGAAAATACATTTAAAAATAAATATATATTGTGACAGTGAACATGACAAACAAGAGCTATTTAATAAATGGACCGCCAGGATTTATTTAAGTTATTATAGCCACCTCATAGCTTATATAAATAAAGTAACATCGTCATTTTCCTTATTCGATGTTTACTTGTTTATTACTTTGAAAAATATTTCTTGCTCATGGTCTTTAAAACGCTTTCTTATCAATAATGCTCACGTAGACCTGAGATATTGTCCGAACTTCTTCATACTAAAGGGTAAACATATAGCTTTAGAAAATATACAATAAATTCATGAAAAACAAGACCCACCAGAATTCATTAAAATTTTTAAATAAATGACATACAAAGAGTTGTGCTTCTATCCCTGCGATGTAGGGTTAAGGTAGAGACTATTGTTACAATTTTGCTTTTTAAAAGCATCTACTTGTAGGTTAACGTTTTATGTAAAAAGATATTAACAAAATAATCACAATCGTGTAGACCTGGATCACTTTTTAAAAATATGTTTTACCTATTCATCATACGACCAATTGGAGTTGTATCAAAGAACGACATTGGTGACCTAAGGATACTCTTCAACATGGAGTTATGTAATATACCGGAAGCCCGAACCATGCGTGTTAGAGCCATGTAAAACGATAAAAATACAGCAATTCCTGAAATATATTTTTGAATATGAATAACATATATCATAAATATGAAAAGAACTGAACTCAAGTTTATAACAAAGGATTTCCTAAACATTTGTAGATACATGTTATATTTAAAGCCATACAAAATGTCATAACTCTCACATTAGTAAGAAAATCATTTCCTTTTTATGACAGCATAACCTGTGTTTTTGACCAAGTGTTAAACAATATTCCACCTGTCCAAAAACGGAGAACTACTTTTTGTTATGATTTAAACCGGAGGTGCATGCTATTAGTTCGCGGACTTCTGTTTTACCACATATTGTAAAACGGTGCTGCTGAGTCTGTGAGTCATGTTTTTGACATTGACAACAAAAATAGAAATAGTGACAATTACAATGCGCTGTGTTTTAAAAATTAGATATAATTCGAGTTTCTGCACACCCACAGTCTGGGTAGGGCAAAAAAGACCACTTCCCTGCAAAGAATTTTATAAATAGACCTTCATAGGAGAACACTGTTCAAAGCATTTAATTTTATTTGAGCCGCGTCACGACAAAACCAACATAATGGCCTTGTAACCAGCATGGATCCAGACCAGCCTGCGCATCCGCGCAATCTGATCAGGATCCATGCTGTTCGCTTACAAACCCTATAACAAGTAAAGAAACTGATAGCGAACAGCATGGGTCCTGATCAGACTGCGCGGATGCGCAGGCTTGCCTGGATACATGTTGGTCGCAAACCCATTATGTTGGTTTTGTCGTGACGCGGCTCATTTGTTTGTTTATGTTTAAAACAACAATACGAAGGCAGAAAATGCATGATAGTGTTGTAATAAAGGTTGCCTAAAAAGGCGTGGAAAACATGAAGATTTAAAAAAAAATCTCCCTAACCTCATAATCCTGTCAGACTTATAAATAAGCTTATTAAGATGATCGTTGTAAACTAATCACGATTAATCTATCCACATGGAAAAATGCTCAATTATATACGACATTCTTTAATTCTTATTGAAATACAAACTCCTCATAGTGATTACCTCCCTTGGCAGATTGTAATGATAAGGGGAGATCACTGTTTAGTAGATTAATTAAATATTCATATATAGAGAGAATAATGGCAGTATTGGTTTTTCACCTTGTATTATACCCATGCCCATATACATAAGAAGATAGTAGATATATTTATCCTCGTATTCTTGCGTCTGGTATAAACTGACGTTCTTCAACAAAGGGTCCTCCGTCCAGTAGGTCAACCAGAAGTTTGAGAAGATGTTCAAACCTTGGAATATACTCATGCTGATAAACACGACTACCACCGTACACACGCCCATTGCTTTAATGTATGCTAACAAAACAGCGCCTTTAATCTGAAAAACATAACAGAGGTAAATGGGGCACAAAACCTAGCAAGCAGAAAAGAAATAAACGCAAATCAAAAAAAAAATATTCGCAAACACAAATGGTTTAAACCGAAAAATTTATGAAATTAATGCAAAGCTATCGGAATTAACGGATAAGAAATGTGAATTGCAAAAACGACTTTTTCATTAAAATGACGCAAAACTTAAGAATTCGACAAAAAGCTTAAAGAAATAACGCAAAAAATGTAGTAAAAGCAGCATGCCTCCAGATTTATACCAATTTTCATGAAAATTTCTAAAAAAATGTATTTAAAATAAAAATATTGTGAAGTGAAGAAAGAAAATAATTTGCATTTGCAAACGGTTCTAACATTCACGTTAATTGCCAAAAAAAATGTCAAAATATGCAAAATATAACCTTTACTGCGTTAGTCACGCCGTAGAAATATGGTTTTATAAATACTAAAAAGTCAGTTATTATTCGCACATAACATAACATGCAAATTATTATATATTATAATAATCATATAATTAAACTATAATTTGAAAATTTCCCCCAAGTTTGCATGCAGCTTTCATGAAAAGCTACCTAATTAACACAAAAATCTAAATTTAGAAAATCTGGTTCGTACCGCTCCTTCCTCTGATGTCTCGTCTACCGTGAGTCGACTTAAATCATCGGGATTAAATGTTTCCGGCTGCTTCGACATTGACCTTGAACTTGTAAATGCGCTAATCCGTGTCGAACGTCTGTGCCTGAAAATGAATAAATATATTTGAGAAATTTCCATGTTGAAGTCCATATAAATTATTGTATCTTGGACAAAATACGTTGTTGACGCCGATACAAAGATTTATATGAATGTTTAATGGAAAACATTTTCATATTTATCACATATCCGTGCCGACTTTGCGATTCTTTAAATAAGGTATTGCACGGCCGTGCATAGATTTTTACGTGACGTCATGTGCGTTATACAAACATAGTGTAAAGACCTGCTATATATTAGCGTTACAGGTGTTGGCGCATCAATGAAAAAATGATTCTTTTGCACTTAAAACAGTCTTTACTTCAGGTATGTGATAGATAGAATATTATATTCGTGTAGGTTCATGATCTCGTTGAATAAAATAACAGTATGCTCGCCAGAGGCTCGGATCATATAATTTAATTCAATTCGTGCAATAAATTCACTATTGAACCTACACTCATTCAATATCCTCTTTTTCATTGAGTGACGTTGGGTTGACGTTATAAAATGCGCAATCATCGTTGGAACCCACGGTACACATTCCATATATACTACCGATACATGTATGGTCTCAACCCGGTACGGAATTAGAGTCCCAGCCCGTTCTAGAAAGTAGTTCTTTAAAATTTTGAAGTGGCCCAATATAAGTCATCTCTAGTTAGATTGGTAATAGTTAAAGTGTATTATGTGTTATCATAGTTTTCATGTGTTATATGATAAGTTTAAAAGTTGATTTTGTGTATTCTCCAGGAACTCATTTGTTGGCGGAAGGATTAAAGATGTACCAACCGCCAGCAGTCAGGAGTTTTTAAAACTGTGTTACAGCAGAATGAAGATTTCTGAAAAAAGTAGATGGCTAACCTATTATATTTTGGGCCTCATTTAACTTAGATATTGTTGATTTACAGTATATAATTCATCAAGAACAGTGGAACCCAGAATTAAGCTTCAAATGTGACTGATTTACTATAGAACAAAGAATACGAAAATTCACAAGGCCGACACCGTATACGGTAAATAGCCTGGGTTACTGAGGATGATACGTAATGTCGGACTTATCGTACCACGTATTTTACTGACGTTGTTAGAATGAACGTATTCACTTACGTCCTGCCACTTGCCGTTAAACCGTCATCTTCTGAAGTAATTCCACCGTCAGATTTTGCTTCGTCTATATGTGATCGTATAGTTTCCTTTATCTCCTGAACTGAATAATAATAATAATAATAATAATAATAATAATAATAATAATAATAATAATAGTAATAATAATAATAATAATTTTCGACCCTTTCTGTTAAGACTTCGGCTAATAGGAGAGGTGTTCCGAATGATTAAACTATGTGCAAATCGTGGAAATTCGACATAGCGCCCTTTTCCGTGTCCTAAAAACAAATCGACTTAGACAAAGGCCACGAAATTTTGCCAAATGAACGCTTTATAGATAAAATATTGTATCCGAAAAATTACGAAATTGGCCGGATTCATACGAAGTAGATCTGTGTTAGATATCCAAATTGCAAACGATTATATTGATGTTATATATCTTTGAAATATAAATTGATGTATCACGACATACAAATAACCATATTCAACAATAAACGATGACTTAAATGATATGCTAGACAATAAGATAAAAAAATGGTTACAGAAAAACATTAAACGCCCTTGTCAAAACTTTGTTGCATACCATTAAAGGCCACCTTCGAAAACTTATTGAAAGCTATTTAAGGCCATTGCTTATAAGTCATATAAAGTGACATAAACATGTAGAAGTTTTGAAGAAAAAAATCCCATACATATGGCTTACAGAATATAACAATTTATAATATAAACAAGAATTACTTTCCGGGTCGTCATCGTCGTCATCTTGCTGGAAATATTGATGGAGGAATCTGGCAAAGTCTCCGTCGTGAGAAATCAACTCGACATAACTACCAATTTCTGATATAACACCGTTGTTAAGGACAACAATTCTGTCAACCATCGGTAACCAATGGACTCCGTGCGTGACCAGAATACGTGTCTGAAATTTATACCACCGTATAACTACATACAACATCAAATCCAGTATAGATCATTTATGAAGCTAAGTAAATGCACGTATCAACAACATCAACAAACTGAAAAAAAATACATGCACCTTTATTTAGAAATTGATGCAATGTTATTTCTGTTGGGTTACTACGCCCAGGAACCACATTTTTAAGGCCTTGTCATAGACGGTGACCGGGCCATCGCTTGCGTGTGGCACCGTTGTCCGTTTTAGTAGAGCTTTCACATTCCTTTGGTCACATTTGATCTTTCAACAAAATCATAGGTAAGAAAAGCTATACAAAGTAAAATCTTTTAGCTTAATACGGAATCAATTTCCTCATGGACCCACCTTGTGTTTCAATAAGCCGTCATTTCCGATCACCTTTTGGAACAAATGTTTGCCGACATGTGAATCTACAGCGCTGAGAGGGTCGTCCAAGAAGTAGACATCCGCATTATTATACACTGATCTAGCTAGACTGACGCGCTGTTTCTGCCCACCGCTGATATTTATACCCTGCAATTATGTATAAACCCTTGAAAAAAATCCAAATGATGAATAGCATTCTTGTTAAAGAGAAAATAAGATTTGTTTTGAAAATTAAATTAATATAACCAACATCATCAACATCATCATCATCATCATCATCATCATCAACAACATCATCATCACCATCACCATCAACAACAACCAAAAAGACGACAAAAATCTCCAAAATCTAGGAACAAGAAACAACGGTCTGTCATTACAAATTTAAGTACTTATTCGGAGGAAATCGACACTTTATAACCAGAATTTAACTTCAAACTATAAATTAATTGTGTACCATATTCCCCTTAATCACGCCTTTTTATCAAAAACGAAACCTTTTCTGAAATTAGTAGAATTTCTATTCTAGAAAAGAAAAAATTGAATTTTTTTCTAGCAAAGAATCAGAAAAATTATCTTGTAATATTGTTTCTATGAAGTATTAGGAAAAACATCTTAATTGTTATTTGCTTTAGTTGAACTTTGTACTACATTTTGATTTTTTTTGCCATTCACTTACCTTTTCGCCAATTTCCGTCATATCCCCTCCCGCTAATATCTCCAAATCGGGTAATAGCGCACACGATTCCAGGACCTTCCGGTACTTCTTCTCCTGGTACTTCTTCCCAAAGAGAATATTATCACGCAGTGTCATGTTCTGAATCCATGCTTCTTGTGGCACATAAGCAACTTTGCCCTGGAGAATTGTAATTATATTGTAGCAGTCAAGTGTTACGTCAGCCCCACCCCTTAAGGAAAGGAATGATTTAAGTGCTTACCTCGAGTCAATACGATGGTTTTTCTCTGATGCCACACTAATGGGGGATATGCTAAGCCCGTGGGACAGTTGAGTTTTTACTATATTGATCCGACCGTTATTACAATTAACTAGAAAGTTAAATAACTATGATACACAGATTTACTTCGGTTGTTAAATATTATATCGCATGCCAAATATTTAACGTCAAGCTTTTCTCGTGCACAATTACTTTATAACAGTTTTTATGTGTCTGGTTCAAAGCATCCCTAGCACAAAGTGACTTGACAGCAGTTTTGAATGCTGTTCAACCAATGACACTTTCCGTTTACACACACATACAAACATACTTGTGAATTATTCAATAACGATATACCTTTAATGTAACTTTGCCACTCATCCGGACCATCTCCCCAAGACAAGCCGAAATTAACGAAGATTTGCCACTTCCCACTTGACCAACCACAGCAATCAGTTCACCTGGTCGAACCTTCAGAGTTATGCTTAATTAAAAAGCATGAAATAATATGAACTTCTATATGTTATATTTTACTTCATCATTACAATATCAAATTAAAACAGAAACAAACTCATAGCTTTTTTATTTGTATTACTATCAAGTCCCGTGCGTTAAAGGGACTCCACTGAGGTCTTTTGGTACGAAGGACAGGGAATAATTTTTTGAGAAAAATGTTCCATATGATGTAATTCTAGACAAATAACTTGTCCGCAAAATTTCAGACCATTCACTCTCTCCGTTTTTTCCAGAAGAATTATTCTAATTTTGAAAATGACCCAAAATTGAAAGCGTTGCAATTTGGGCTAAGAATAGCACAATAATGCGACTTTGAATTTACTTCCGAGTATATTTCTTAATTATCTTTTGTATAACTTTCTGTTTTAAAGTTAACCTCAGCTAATCTTTATATGGTGCTTTTAGGCTTTTATACCTCAGTGGAGTCCTTTTTAAATTAAGACATTGCAATATATTTCTCGTAATAAACAAGTGGATGATTACGGACATCTAGTATTTCTTTTCAGATTCGATTGGCAAACTTAAAGCCTTGCCAATTATTTGATCTTTTCTTACTTTGTTAGTATCGGTGTTTCAACATCAGCATTCCAAGCAAAATCACCACTTTCTATTGACACTGGATATTCTGAAAATTAATCTCAAGTTTTCATTTAAACTTAATCATACTAGATCTATTATTACTAAATACCAACATGATGAAAGTTTAAAAAGAACATTGTTAAAAATTGTGAATATTAAACAACAACAACAAAAAACAACAACAAAAAAACACAGTCACAGTGTCTTTAAGGTACAACTAAATATTAGCCATTCAATGAAAGCGCTCAACATGAAGTATGAAGAAAGGTAAATGTGTCGGAAGGAACGTTGGAACATTAATAAATTTCATAGGTAATAAAAATTTTAATTCAAATAAAAAAAACAAAAAAACTGAAAATTAAAATTTGAAGTCCAAAGACATAAATACATGATAAAGAACGTTACCCGCTTGTTTGACAACATTGACGTTGTCAGTTCGAACATCTTCCGTCCACAAAAACGCTTGTATTCTCCCAACCGAAACAAATCCCTAATAACATAAAAGTAACGTAAGATACCGTGAACCTTTTTGTGTCATTTTAGATAAAAGTGGATATCAATTAGATTATTTAACCTTTTACCCCATGAGCATATTGCGAAAAATGGCCATTTTCACTGAAAAGCCTCCTGTAACAAGTTCAAACTGCTATGAAAGTATGAAAAATGCTTCAATACTAATGAAACTTGGCACAAATGTTGACTACACCATAGCCTCTGTAACAGCATGCTCAATGGTAAATTTCCTGTTACCATGGCAACGGGGGGACGTCTCAAAATTGCCAAAAATCACTATTTTGCATTGTTTTTTTCCATCAAAACTGATTTTAAAGTGCTGCAACTTCTCAATGAATTGAGATAGAGTAAAAGGCTTTTCAGCGTCGGTTACTAGCTACCCTAAGATCGACCTGAGGCCATTTTTAGCCTGTCACATGTCCAAAATTTTCTTGGAGATGAGGGGGACTCCGCCCCCCTACAAACCCCCCAAACAGAAGGGGGCACATCCCCCTTCTGGCAACCCCCTGATGTAATATTTGGATGGGGGACGGCGCCGAAAAAGTGGTCACTTTTTTAACAACATTTCTCAAACGATAAACAGTGTTTGGGGCTTAAATAGGGCATTTTTTCACTGTTTGAGGCCTTAAAAAAAGGGGGGTGGGGGCAAAAAGCCGTCGAAACACGCTTATATAAGGGAAAAGGTTAACAAAAAATGATGAAAAATCTTGGAATTACACAAAAACTAGAGTTTCCATGTTAACACATGCCCTAACACCGAAATTAGGTGAAAAATTGTTGTTTTTTGACATTTTATTTTTTTTAATTAATAACAAAAAATAAAACAAATATTTCAGATTTGAACATTATAACAATTGTTGATTTAAATTACAATGAAACATTCCTGAATTACGATGGTGCATTTCTTTTTAAACGAATAGTTTTCTATTGTTTTCTATATAAAATAGTTCTAAGTATAATTTTCAATAACCGTAGATTCTTTCATACCCAAAGTATGGTATTCTTTTTTGTTTTGAAAATTATACCCTCGGAAAATTTGTAGCCTGGAAATGATTAAAATTCGTGAACAAACAAGGTAATAAAGAAATTTAAGTTAACCTCTCGTGAGGTCAATGCATAAGAAAAGTCACGTAATCAGTAATCTCCCTGCAGTGAACTCCCCTTACTGGATTAGTGGCCGTAGCGTAACAGGTGCGCGGAGTTTGACGCAAACCCCCAAATCGTCAAAACAGCAATGGCATATCTATTAAAAGGCAAATTAGAAATAAAAACTTTGAAAACGTCGCATTACCTGCACTGATCCGTTCACCAGAAAAGGACAGAGTGCTATTGGATATCTTAAAATGTTGATAATAGACAACGCTGTGAACGTTTCCTCCGCTCCGAGTGAATGCGTCGGTGACGTCAGAACGTAAATTAAGATCAGCGTGAAATTTATCTGTAAATTATGTAAAGAAGTATCGATCATTAATTTTCATGAAAAGTTATATATAAAATATATAAAGGATATTGAATGAGTGTAAGTTAAATACTGAATTTATTGCACGAGTTGAATAAAATTATATTATTTTATTCAACGAGTGCAATAAATTCAGTATTGAACTTACACGAATTTAATATTCTATTTATCACTTACCCAAAATAAAGACCGTTTAAAGTGAAATAAGAGTCATTAGTATAGTATAACGCTAACATTTAGCGCGTCTTTACACTATGTTTGTATAACGCTAATGACGTCACGTCAAAATATATGCAAGGCCGTGCAATCGCAAAATCCGCACGGGTGTGTGATAAAGATTGATTGTAAAAAATATTTTTTATATCAATATCTATCAAAAAAATTTAGATAAATAGAGGATATTCAAGTTTTTTTCTATCATTACAGTATTTATTTTCATCGAGTGGTATGAAAATAAATATTTCACGAGTGGCGAAGGTACAAGTGAAAAATGGTAATTTTCATATCACAAGATGAAAATAAATCCTGTATGTATAGAAAAGAACTTGAATTTACTGTTTATTATATTGGCATAACAATTCTTAAGATTTCTTCTTTAATTTTGTGTAATGGGCGAATTAAGAAGAATGTAGTCCGGCAAGTTACCAGTGAAAATTCGGAAAATATGTTTTTCTGCAGTGAAAACTATTTTTTACAGTGAAAATACGGAAATGAAAAAAACACATTTTATTTCAACAATATTTCTAAATATTTCATTTGTAAGTATAAAATAAATGTTGCGGCTAACAAACTTTATTCTACTAGTTGATTAAAATATATTTTATGAATAACCATAGCATTGAATACAGTTATTTGCAGCATGTAAGGATTGGCCAGGATTCTATGAAAGCTTGTAAGTTTTCCTATGTAAACAATGTGTATAAAATAATTTTGGCAGCATATTAAATAAATTTCTAATTACTGTAGATATCAAATTGCAACGAATGCCTTACTCTGTAAACAATGGTTACACGAGGAGCATTGGTAAGATATGCAATTAGTTTTATTATCAGAATGGTAAAAAGTCCTAACACTAAGATGACATTGACTCGCAATGCTTGTTCGTTGAAAATTACAAAATGAAAAATAAAATTATGTGCCATAAATTATATTTTAGCACAAGAATAATCTATCCGGAAAATACCGAGAAATGGACGGCGAATAGTCCGCTAGATTACCGGAAGTCAAAATGTTAACACACAGCCTACGACCAAAAAAATATACTGCTTACCATAAAAGGACTATGTACGGCAAACACTATTGTTGTAGCTGTGTAGAGGGCGTACTTCCACAAACAGTTGATTTCCGACTGCCGTATTGCCTGAATTCTTTTCATAAATGAAGGTTCCCAGGCATACATTTTAAGTACCTATAAAACACAAAACATGTCATGTTTTAGAATAGACAGAAATATCATATTATTTTTGAATATCCTATTCCAAAAGCAATGCATTTATTTTTAATCCGTCATCGGCATATCGTTGTTCCCTTGAGTAAGAAATTTTACATTCATTACTCAGTACTGATTGGTGTCAGGAAATTATCAGAAATGTTTCTGTAAGCTTAAAGCTACCTACACAATCTTACTTAAATAATTATTTTTATCAACCAAACGCAATGCACAGCGTCAAACTACATTCATAGGATTGAAAAGAAATGCAAGAGCTTTTCGGGTTTAGAATGAATTTACCTTAAATTTGTTTACATGTGTTTTTATACCAACTCAATTGGGTTCGTATTCCCTTTTAAGGTTACGAGGGTTGATCAATATATTCGTTGACGCTACTAATAACTAATTTATCAAGATATTATAAAGAATTTTCGCTATTTAGGTACAATTACGAATATATTGTGATTTTTAATTTTTATTCTCATTTTGTATATTATATTTAACTTCATAGCAACCCTACGCCGTACGAACACCGCAGCTTAAAAAAGTTATACTTACCATTTTAAATTAAAAAAAAAAATTGTCCTTATTTTGGCGCGCTTTTTTATAATACGTAAATCATGTCAACGTTCTTTCATAACGTTTATAGAAGTCGTATTTACTATTTATAGAGCTTAGTCTGAGTTTAGGAAGAAATTATCTTAATTAATACCATACCTTTATTCCGCTTATAACCTCATTTAAGATCTTTATTCTGTTTCCTTTTAGACGAAGGAGTTCCTTTTGTAATTTGTATTGTTGGGTGGCTATCATTCCAACAGTTGGTAAAACAACGAGGATAACCGCAAGGCCGCCCAAACTAGCCACGCCTGTAATGGTAAACTTCCCATGTTTAAGGGACTCTATTGAGGTTTTTTTTTTAACATGTCGGGACTTGGAATAATTTTTCGAGATTATTGTTTCATTTGATGTCGGTCTATACCAATTACGTGTGTCAAAAATTTCAGATCATTCGCTCTTTCTGTTTTTCCGGAATAATTATTGGAATTGTGAAAATGACCAAACATTGAAAAGCATTACAACGCTTTTCACTCAAATCGGACAAAAACAGCACACCAATTACATTTTTCAATTTATTTCAAAGTATATTTCTTTATTATCTTAAGCGTATCTTACTGTTTTATGTGGCCCAGCTTATTTATGTAAAACAAATCAAATTTCATGGTTTTAGGTGAAATTATTTAAAATCTAATAAATTGTTGACTGTATAAAACATTTACGAAATATATCAATAAAAATATTGACAAATTACTCTCGAGATGATTTGTTTACCGTTACTCACAACGTGTTATTCATATACTCCTGTACAGAGCTGCATCAGTACTAAGAGTGTTATACTTAAGTACCAGTACCAGTACTTGTCAAGTTATGCAGTACCATTACCAGTACCAGTACTAGATTTTTAGCTCGGTAACTGCTGTACCAGTAATTGTTTGTACTGTAATCCGCGAACAAATCATATCTGTTTCAATTAACTAATGTGCATGCTGGTTTGGCTCTATATTGGTGACAAAGGATACTCATTTTCTGATTCAAATAGATTTACAGGTTAACATTCAAACCTTAAAGATATACTATGCTCATCCTTGAGCAAACTATCTTTTTACACAGAAATTTAAATCATTCTTACTAAATATGCCTAACCTGAATAAAAAACAATAAACTATATATTCCCTATTACAGCTCAAGTTAAGTTGGTCTTTTCTTAAAAAACTGCCAGTTTTCTAAGGACACCGAATATTCATACTGTTACCACCTATAGTGTGTAAAATTTTATATATAACATTATCTACATTGTGGAAGTCAAAAAAGAGACTATTTAGCTGTTATTATCAATATTTTCTTATATCAAATTTGAGCATAGTATATCTTTAAAGTAAAAACAAATCTTATTTATAATTTCTCACCCATGAGATCCCATAGCTGTACAACAGCAATGACAAGTATAATGAAGATGCAGACGATATAAAAAGAGAACATGAAAGCGTCTTGGATCCTCTGACAGTCGACGCTCATCAAGTTCACAATCTCCCCAACTGTCGTCGACTTCAGTCCGCTTCTGTTCATCGTTATGGCCTAGTTCACAATAAATATAATAATAATAATAATAATAATAATAATAATAATAATGATAATAATAATAATAATAATAATAATAATAATAATGATGATAATGATGATATAATAATAATAATTATAATCATAATAATATAATAATAATAATAATAATAATAATAATAATAATAATAATAATAATAATAATAAAAATAATAATAATAATAATAATAATAAATAATAATAATAATAATAATAACGATAATAATAATAATAATGATAATAATAATAAAAGACTATTCTTGTTTTAGCAAAATTAAAGTTATATTTAAACTTTATTTACAAATAGTTTTTTTTATTTTATATTTACCAACAGATAACAGATTACTTTTAGTATTAACCGTTCAAAAGAATTATATTATGTTATACACCTTGTCATCAAATTTGGTTTCCATTGTAACCAAACAATTACTTATAAAAAAATTATATATAGACAGGACTGATTTTAAGAAAATATGAATGCTAGAGGCATTTTATAGTACAGTAAACTTCACTTAAAGCGAACACGGTTATAACGAACTTCCGGTTATAAGGAACAATTTATTTTGGCCCGAATTTTACCCTTCTTTATTTAAAATGATTATGTACGGTTAAAGCGAACACGATTATAAGGAATTATCGCTTATAAGGAACTCATTTTTTAGTCCCAATTTAGTTAAAAGTACAGAAAATTACACTTTTATAACGAACTTCAAAATATCGGCTATAAGTAAATAGTTACCGCATTTTCAACTTTCGTTTTTACTGGCACTCGGCCGAATATACCGTTTATTGTTGTATGTGCTTCCAGACATCTATTAATTTTAAATATTTAGCAGTACATAATAGCATAATCCACTGAAAACTACAAAGTACGCTTGATTGAAATGAAAAGAAATCTATATCTTTCATGAGTAAAAGTAATCCTTAAAATATAATAGAAGATATTCAATATAAAATGGAAGGAAAAATCGAAATCATGGAAAGAAATAGAAAAGCACTGAGTTTAGAAACAAAATATGATATTTTATGAAAATTGAGAAAGGGGGTTAAATTAAAACTGAAATAGCAAAGGATTTTCAAATTCCAAAAAGTACGCTCTCGGGTAAATGACTAATTTTTCTTGATCAAATGCTCTTCAAAATGGCGGATGATGGTTAACAATCAGTTTGTTGTATGTAAATATGTTCGCTATAAAAACTCCTGATACAAGGAACTAGTTCTCTATATGCTTACAAGGAACTTACAAGGAACTCCGGATATAAGGAACAGATATTGAATGTCCCGATGAGTTCGTTATAAGCGGGGTTTACAAGTAATATCTTGAGTGTTTTAACCTAATATGGGTATGCTGAAGACGATGAGTGTGGATACCAAGAAAATAAAATTGACATTGACCTTCAAAATGTCAATTAAAAATGGCCGCTTAAAAAAACTAAAATAGGTCATTAAAACTATGATACAATATGATGCAATTAATTATTCGTGTCAAAATCAAATGATTATTCAATATGATCAGATTTTAATGAGATTGGCCACCAAATATAACGATTATAAACCTAATGGCTCAATTAACAGATATATACAGTACTGTTTTACTATCGCGTTTAGGTATATGACTTAGATTGAAAAAAATCACTTTAAATTTATATTTTGTCTTGACTTATATTTAACAATAAACTTAGTTTTAAATCCGTCTTTATAAATATTACCAAAGAATAAATATTTCGTAATAACAAATAAATATATTGCGCAATTACCGAATAATATTTCGTAATAACGAATCAATTTTTCGTTATTTAGATTTTATATTTCGTTAAAACGAAATAATATTTCTAATTGGGATTTATTATCTCGTAAAAACGAATTCAATACGGGGAGAAAGTGTGGAAAATGTCACTTCAGATTTTCCGTAATTTTCAACATTATTTGTAGCTATGGTTTTTTTTAAGTTTTTCATTTTGTTTTCATATATTTTGCACATATTATGGTATTTATGGTTTAAAATTAATATTAAAAAAAAAATATTTTGAAATGTCAAAAAAATGTCATTTCAATGCCATAAATACAACACGAACCGAGACAAAAAGTGTTTTAAAATTTATTGCACCCCCCCCAAACCCCCCCCCCAAAAAAAAAAAAAACAAAAACAACAAAAAAACAGTAGGTCTTAAAAAGGCAACTGTAGGAATCGAACCATAGACCTCTCACACATCAGTCAATCACTTAACCGGCTGTGCTACTGCCTAAGTAACGATAACGTTTACCTTTTTAGCAGATATGACTTTCACTAACATTAGTTTTATAGTTTTTTATTTTATGCATTTCAGAGGATTACTGATTTATCCGTTCAAATTATATTTGATAATTTCACAGTGAAAATTATCAAAATATAACTTCACACTTTTCAATGACGAAACTACTTTCTTAAGACTTTCCCAATGTGGTACCTCGATCTTATTTTTGCTACCAATTCTGACAATGTGAGGCTGTTTAGAGAAAAGCAAAGCTGAAATTGATAAATAACTTAAATGTCAAAAGTAATAAAAGGAAGAAAACTTACTTCTATTCATCCAAATAACCAATCAGCAAATATCGTCTCTTATTTTTTGTTTCATTTTTACAGTCTGAAAAATACATTTCTGCAAAACATCTCTTGATGACATTTGGGCATATTTAAGTTTCCTACGAGCAATAACTGCCGTATGCTTTATGAAAACTTGAAAAGCAATGACAGCCATCAGCCCGAAGAATAAGTAAACAACCCATCGTTCGTAAGACAGTCTTTCAACAATTCCAAGTTTCCAATTTTTTAGCCACTTTTTAAATGTTTACACATCTGTCAACAACTATTTATTGTCTGTTACAATACTCAAATAAGTTTTCTTTCTTTTAAAAAGGTGTATGACTAACAAATCCAAATGATACCCCTCTGAATCAAACACAATTACTTTCCTCCCGTAAAATACACAACTTTTAAAAATGGCCACCGCTTACATTTAACAGAGCCAGATCTAATATAAATTAGCAGTAAGTAACAGAAATATGGATGGATGGACTTTTTCTCCTACTAAAATTGTTTGTTTTTATTATTAAAATAAGCGATCATTCATATTTTTTTAATAAAATGAATTATATCATCGCCATTTAGCGTTGATTGTCGAACTTATTTTCAGCCCAAGACTTCTTGTATTTTATGAGAAATTCGACTTATATGTGTACATAATAGAGGCTACCAGTGGGGAAAACAGATTTTAATATTTAAGTTCATGTCAAGGAAATTTCGTTTTAACTTATTTTTAAGCATAAAACAAAAAGAAAATTTGTTTGTTTGTTGTGTCAGATGTAATTTTATTTCACTTCGTGAACTTTGAAAACAGTAGTTTCGCTCGTGGCTACGCCACTCGTGGGAATACTGTTTTTAAAACCCATTCGATGAAATAAAATTTCATCTTACACACAAACAAACAAATATCCTCTATATACTCCATATTAATTCTCGTAAACTTTAATAACGAAATCATGGAAATCTTCAATGAGTGCTGTAATGTATTCATAATTGACAGGTCAATAGAATAAGACTATACAAAATAAGCAATTAGGCTTTGTATACAAACAAATAAAATATTGTTGCAACATGCAAACGCGGGATTAAGTATGCGCAAAATCAGTACAAAATCTTTTTAAAGGCGACATGTGACACATTATAAAATGTATCTATAGAATAAAAGATAGCACCTTTGTGAAGCCTTTTCTCTAGAAACTAACTAAAAACATAATAATTACATAATTGCACGTATTTTAAAAAAATTGAATTAAGGCAGTACAAAATTTTAAGCATATAAGCTTGTATTATGTTTAGCCTACTTAAAACATTATCCGGATCAAAAACCCCTTTTGTAACCCAAATATCTACGACGTTATGGCTCTATCTCAAACTATGAAAGTTGTTTTCTATCTATTTTCTGTACCTCAGGTTTATATATAAAAATGTATTAATTGAATGTTGAGCAAACTAGGTAAAAAATATCCAACTTACAAATTTACAAATACTACTTTTTAAATGGTTACAACAACATTTCTGTCTCATTCTTTTATAAAATGTGTCACTTGCTGAAATATTGAAATTAATAAAGAGCCGTTTTTCAGCACCTTGTGAACATTACACATGTCTGCTGCATGTGTTGTTTTGTTTGTATTTGCTGTTTTCTGCCGAAAATAATATCTGCATAATTCTTTTTTTTTGATTATATTATAACTGCATTAAAGTATACGATGGATAATCGATAATATTAAAAAGTCATCTTAAACTTAGGAGTGTGTACTTTATCACATTCTCAACAAAAATACAGAAAACAACAAATGTTTACTATCTTGTTTAAAAATAATTGGCGATTTAATTTTAAATTTAAAGTTTAAGTCAAAAACAACAACAACAACAACAACAACAACAACAATAACAACACCATATTTACATCAAGTCATAAAATGACTGAAACCGGGAGATTGCTACGTGTGCTTGCTATACAATGGCAGCTCTTGAAAATTTTGGAATTCAGTCACGGTTTTGAGAAAATTCTACAAGACGTTTATCACATCATTTGATGTACATTAGAATTCCGGGTACCCTCCAATAAATTTCAAGGGTATCTTAAAGTAACTGCAAAGTTATCTATAAAAATATTACTTGTAATAAATCGAGTAATATTTTCTTTGACCATATATAAAAGTCACGTGGGTTGGCTACATAGTAGAGGTGTTAAAATATAATTGTATTACACCCTTTGTTAGCCATTGAAATAGTATTTAATGTATAAAGGACTTTCAAAAATGGTCATTATTCAGAGCGGGCGCTATGGTGCAGTGGTAACACTGTCTGCCTACAAATCAAGGGGTCGTGAGTTCGATCCCCCGCTTCTCCACTGAACGAATAAATGACTACAAGACTGACAAAACCAGGAAATTGACACAGAATGACGTCAAAGATAGATACAAGAGAAGACCATAATGGATCAGGAAACAAGTACCGAAAGTACAGACCGAAGACGACGACCGATAACAGAAGGAAGAACGGAGACAAGAACTGACAACAAGCGAACAGAGACGAAAACCGATAACAGAAGAACAGAGACAGGGACCGATAACAGTAGAACTGACAATAAACGAACAGACACGTGCACCGATAACAGAAGAACAGATATAGTGACCGATAATAGCAGAACTGACAATAAACGCACAGACACGTCGACCGATAACAGAAGAACAGGACAAGGACCGATGACAGAAGTACTCACAACAAGCGAATAGAGTCGAGAACCGCTAACAGAAGAACAGGACAGGGACCGATGACAGAAGAACTCACAACAAGACAACGGAGACGAGGATTGATAACAGAAAAATAGAGACGGGAACCGATGACAGAAGAATTGACAACAAGAAACGAGAGACCAGGACTAGTTACAGAAGAAAGAAGACGAGAACCGATAACAGAACAACTGACAACAAGACAACAGAAACGTGGACGGATAACAGAACATCTAACAACAAAATAACTAACACAAGGACCTATTACAGGAGAACGAAGATCACGACCAATAACAGAAGAACTCACAGCAAGAAAACGACGTCCAACGACCGATAATAAGCAAACGAACACCAGCAACCAAAAGTAATCAGACAAAGGTGCCTTTAAACTTTATATGAGTGCCAGATAAAATACATGAAAGCTATATATCTAGCAGATAGGACAGGGAAGACTGTTCGCTGCCTAAATGCCACTATCTTTAATATAACTTCTATATTACTATGATATTGGCCTAAAAAATGTCCGCCATCTTGGATTTTTCGGCAATATTGGAATTTATTTGTTTTAATATTAAGTTTTGGTGTCTAATTTGTTTTTACCTGAACATGCTTTGTGACAAATTTCAGGCTTTTCCATTCCTTAAAAGTTTTATTTGCTATATCATCCATTTATGATAAAGAAATTTGGCGGCCATTTTAGTGGTGATTTTAAATGGCCATTTCCAAGGTTAAGATCAAGTTTCTCAATTTGGTATCCACCTTTATCGGATTCAGCAAACCTTAACTACGTGTAGGTAAAATACACCAAGATACCACGTGTACTACAATATGCCTCTAGCATCTTCCAGGGAGCCAAATTCTTAAATCAGTCCTGTCTAATATGCAGATTTACTAGAAAAATATTTTTGTATCCATTATTTATATCAGAACATTACGATATTTTGGCGATAATTTAAGCATTTAAGAAGTAATACCAGCGACTTTTACGGCCGCAACTAGACTAACGCTATATAGTGTGATTAGGTGATATTTTCGGATAATAGAAGAAAGAGAATACACACAAAAACGACTTTTACGGTCGCAATACAAGACTGAACTAACGCTCTGGTGAGCATAATGTTGTTTTTTCTGATAATAATAGGAGCAAAGGAAAAGCCAAAAGGGCGACTTTTTACGGCCGCAACGTATCAATTAAATTATTTCTGCTCATATGAGTATACTGATTTATTGTAAGACGTTACCTTTTTGTAGATGAGGCAAATTAGTGCTGTTTTAACCTTGAGTCCTATAGTAAGCATGTGATGGAAGGAGATATGATACATGAACGTGTTTATACATAAAACTATGAACAACAACGCGGTATACAAATATCCTTGCCATTCTGCCTCGACCCGTCCCTCTATTTCGATTATCTGTATAATATACCTGAAAACAAAATTATTTATATATCATTATGCATAAACACGAATATATTTTTATATGCAATAATTTTCTCACACTAATTTAAATAAATACGACACAGTCACGTTTCTGATAAACGAGTATAAAATCTAGTACATTTCGGAATATTGTGTCACTTTTCGTGAATTATGAAGGTGCAGAAAAGCGTTCGTATGACCACAATATCTCTGTCACCTAGATGCTTTCCAAATGAATATCATATACAGATTGTGACAAAGTTGTCCGCTTTATGTATGAACTCTAGTAAAAAGTATACCTTTTTTTGTCAATTTTAAAAAATTTTAACTTTTTCGGGCACACTTTAAATTTCAAAAAATTAAAAACAAATTTTGGGTAAACTTTTGGTGGGGGTTCGTGCCAAATAAGTAGGGCCCAAAGTGGCAGGGCCCTTAAAATTTAAGAAATTAAAAGAAATTTGAAAGAAAACATTTACGTTCAAGATTAACCAAAAGGAAAAAAAATCCTTACAAAAGAATTTCTTTAAATTTTTGAAATTTTGGTTTTAAAGTTTTAAGGTTCTTTAAATACAATGAAAATTAACTTTAATCACCAACCCAAAAAAACCCATGATAAAAAAAAAAGAAACCCTTTAAAAGAGAGAACTATTTCCCCAGCAAAATGGTACAAATTACCCAAATTTCATCGAAGGGTTTTTTAATTAGTTTACTTTGTTGGGGAACATAGAAAAATTTTAAAAGGACACAAGTTTCAAATGTACACACTTTTTACCAAAAGCTCTATGAGATATCTCAATGATGCACTTTTCTCATATCATATCATGGCTGAATTTTTTTAATTATCTAAATATCGTTTAAATCAAATAAACTACATAACCTACGCTACGATATAATCTACATTATCGATACGACTATCGACATTATCGCTAAAATAATTTACATTATCGCTACGACAACTCACACAATATATGCGATAATCAACAAAATCGCTGCGATAACCTATAAAAACTACATGTTGTACCATAATCTATATCATCGCTACGATAATGCACAGAATCGCTTTTATTATCTACAATATGGCTTCGATAATCTACATTAACGCTGCGACAAGGCACACGATCGCTACGATAATCTTAAAATTATCGCTCAGCTAAAATCATAGAATGATATCGGTTTCTCACCTTAAAAATATCGGCTGCGTTAAGAAAAGGACCTCTGCCACGGCCATATATCCTGTCGCCTCACTCCAGCCCCAAATAAATGTCCGGAATATTGCTTTGTATAGATTTGGTTTGATAATGATGCATTCTGAAATATAAGTGTTAAGATGATTATTAATAATATTTATTTATGGTAAAATTTTAAATTTTGTATAAAGAGTATGAGAGTAAATATGACAAATTACTTGACAGATTGTTGCAATAGTGTGATATATCATATACTCAATTTATATTGATAAAATCTTCTTCAAAAATTATTATAATTGAGTTGTCCCAAAGCTGATGCAACGAAGGAACGAGCCAACAAAACCAAACTAAAACACAATAAAATATTTGTTGGTACTTAACCTAATGGAACCGGAAGTGAAACGAATTTGAAGAAGCATTCAGAAGTGTTTGTATTTTGATATTGACATCCCTTATTTTTTAAATGGACTCTTTCAAATTCAAAGCAGGGCCATTTCACATATTCAGCGGGTTAAGAAATTTTTTTAAAAAACGCGCGGGTCAGAAAAATTAAAGATTCTTGTTAATACATATACAAAGCTACTCTCCAACTTAGTCACAAGACAGTTAGTTATATTTAAAACTAGCTAATATTTTTACCTAGCTCACTGTTACCCCTTCCCTTATTAAACTGCCCACTTTCAATCAACGGTGTTTCTTCCGTTATCACTCCATTCGCGTATTTCCGGCCACCATTCGATCTTTGAGTACCATACTTGTTTAATGCACCTCCCTTGTACAACAATTTTCTACAGAAAAAAAACAACAAAATCACAAGATCATACAAGTGTCATGTGAGCATACGTGTCACATGACCATATTAGTGTCATGAGAGCATATAATCATCATGTGAGCATACAATCATCATGTGAGCATACAATAATCATGTCAGCATACAAGTGTCATAGGAGCATACGTGTCACATAAGCATATAAGTGTCATATTAGCAAACACGCGTCATGTGAGCGTATTATCCTCACGTGAGCATACAATTATCATGTGAGCATATGCCCGCATGTGAGTATACAAATATAACGTGAGCATAAAAGCGTCATGTGAGCATACAAGTATCATGTAAATATACAAGTGTCATGTGAACATACAAATGTCATATGAGCATACAAGAATCGTGCGAGCATGATATAAGTACTGACTAATCAAAACACAGTTTAACTATACAATTTATGCTAAAGTAAAATACTTCATGGGACAGGTTGTTTAAGGTCAACAATCTTAACCACTTTGCAACAGAGGTCCCATAAATGAAATATCAAGCACTTACTGCTCCCTCTCACATCTATGAATCTCGTCCTTCCACGCGTTCTCCAAAAGTGGCCCAAGATGATTCGCTTTTAATCTGCTAGTCTGATTCCAAAATTCAGCTGGATTTAACCGGTTCTTAAAGCATTTTATGACCACCCTGTAAGTTAAAGGCACATTATTCCTCATTATATTCTTCAGAAAAAAGTCAAATATGTGTTTTAGTAATGATTTAAGGGCATTTTAAATGTTAAACAAGTAAAGAGAGTAGCACTGAACATGCAATAATGTGCAGTAAAGGTACAAAGTAGTATTTTGTCTTCGATACAAAATACGAAATTGCTATTATCAAACCAATTGCCAAAGAGAAAAAGAGCAAAAGATAGTTAATCCATTTGGCCAAAGAGTAACTAGTAACATAAGTAATAAGAAGAAAAATCGAAAACCTTGATTTGCATTTCTTGAGGGTTAGTGGGGCCCTTTTAAAATATGTAAAAATTGCTTTTAAACATTTTTGGTTTAACATTTGTCATTTAGATATTTAGTCCGGGCTATTTTGCCCCAGTCTACCCGGGTCATAATACAAAAAAGCTTTTAAATTTTTTATTTTTTTATTCAAATCCCTTAAACATTGACACTTAAAACATAGTAAATTTGTTACATAAATTAAGCTGGTTAAGAGTAAACATTTTTTTGGTGAATTACAAAAATTCGCCTCTATGAGAAATTCTGTCTGTGGTCAATAAGGTCATCGGGCTTAGTCTGCTGATAGCAATCAATATAGCCTTTGCAAAGAGCTTTGTACCATACCAGACCAGATTCCAGGTATCTGATACAAAACAGTTTTACATTAAGAAAATTTGATAAATCTAAAAGAAAAATAGGAAAAAAATTGATAAATTGAAAAAAAATGAAATAAAAAATAGCAGACGACATTCCCCAGCATACAAAGGGTTAAACTACCAAAGGTTTACGGATTGAAGGTTTCCGGTAATTTATGACCTCTATGTACTATGTATGCAGATTTTTCAAGATTGTATCCTCAATTTAATCAAGATTGGTTTTAAGGTCAATATCGTAAAATAATTCATACTGTGATGTAAATCTGTGCGTGACTTTGTGACAAAAATATGAAAAGTCAACCCCCGGATTTATCTTATAATGTATTGTAAACTAAACATCACAGAATAGTAGAATAACTAATTTTGATAATACTGTATAACGTTTTCTTAAAGGCACATTATACCTCAGAAACAAATAAAATTTTTACTTGTCTAGAAAATGTTAACATGATTTTTATAACATTTAAATCAATATTTAAGAGCATGTTAGATGCTTATTACCTGAAATAATTTTATAAGGACAAGATAGTTCAGATAATTTGCCAATGAATAACTTTTTAGAAAATATAAAAGTACACAAAAATAACAAGCTTTTTAAAAACAAAATTTAATACATTTCCCCTGCATAATGAGCATTTAATGAAAAAAGAATAGCATTTTAACTATAGTTTTATTCATTTTTGGTTGGACCCATTCAACAATGTAAAGGCCATATTGTAAAGTTTAGTTCTACTGGAGAGGGGAGGGCCTCACTGACCCCTCCGTATATTATATCTGTGATAGGCGGCCACCCGAGTAAAAACTACCGACCGGCCATAAGCTAGCTCAGTAACATCATTATATGAAAAAATGCATACAGTCATAGCGGGATTCGAAACCAAAGCATTGAGGGATAAGAAAATGACAGTCAACGACCTTAACAACTGAGTCGCAAAGGTCCAAACCTAAAATTTGTAATGAAAAAATACAACATGTACGGAAAAACTTACGGTGTCAGCCATTCAAAACATATTTGGCCAAGAACGGAAGCGTTTTCATCCGGACAAGAATTCTGAAAACAATTAAACTATTTTTAAGTTACAATTGACAAAACGAGTATTTATTTGATTGAGAAGACCTTGTATAAAATGCCTTATTCGCTACATTTTATATGTGAATGATATCTATATAAATTTTCAAAACCATTATACTTTGTAAGTAACTTGCGATACATATGAAAGTGTCTGCTCTTTGAGCTCGCTATATTAGATATTGAATTTTGCAACGTTTAACATACCATACAACTATGGAAAAAATCAAAATATTTTAAATTTGTATAGAAAAAAAAGAAAAGAAAAAAACATATTAAAGAATATATATCGAACAGTACTATAAACGATAATATTGTTAAGAGAACGGAATTTTATTCAACTTCATTGGCGGTTTAAAGGTATGGCCAAATGTTCAAATATCTCCTTATTTTGTTCAATTTGAAACTACTGTCCTTTTTATCCTAAACAAGAAATATTAAACGCTGAAAATGATATATTGGCCCACAAATTGAAAGAACAATTGGTCAACTAAAATGAATAAAATATTCACCCATTTATATGAGTGAAATATTGACCCACTTATATGAATGAAATATTGACCAACTTATAAGAATTGAAAAATAGATTCAATAAAATGAATGAAATATAGCCCACTAAAATGAATGAAATATAGCCCACTAAAATGAATGAAATATAGCCCATTAAAAATGAATGAAATATCATCCCACTAAAATGAATGAAATACAGCCCATTAAAAATGAAAGAAATATCCCACTAAAATGAAAGAAAAATTGGCCTACTAAAATGCATGAAAAACTGACCTACTAAAATGCATAAAAATATTGACCAACTAAAATGCATGATAAATTGACCAACTAAAATGAATGAAATAATGGTATGGTTAAAATATATTTATTTAAGCTCTATTGAGGAACAGGTATGCTTGAAAGTCTACTATGCTACCGCTCACCTGAAATAATGACCCACTAAAATGCATAAAATATTGACCCGCTAGAATGCGCAACATTAACTTACGTCATCATCAATTTCGTGGTATCCCTGTGTAGAATAAAGTTCTGGAAAACAATGAAGAACGAACTGTATGACCAGTAGAATAAAGTAAATATAAAACACAACGTCCTCGCTGCACGTACCCTGAAATTACAAAGTTTTTTTTATAGATAAGACCAGGGTGATTGTTAATTTCACTAGTAGGAAAATGGGTCATTCACTTAAATTAACTTTTACATAAAATCATAATTTTGGGGGATATCAAAATACGATTTATTTTTAACAGGAAGTATCGTTCAAAAAAGTACTCGGTCGAAGTAATATTGGTTAATATGCAAAGTTATTTTATTTCTAAGTTTTTAATACATAAAAATGTTAGCAATGCAATTGTAGCAAAGAAAATACCCTTTTTGTAAACATTTAAATTTAAATTATAGCATGTAAATATTGATGATTTTTCAAAATAAGAAAACTTCTATTTACTTGTTTTACGTCTGACTTAATAAATTTTGTAGTCATTTATAAATCAATCTAAAAGTTAAATAACTATCCTCATTCCTGTACATTTATGTTAGTATATTGAAGGAAATAAAGTATCCATCTATCTACCTTTACATTTTATTTTAGACTGACCAATGAGATTTACCGATTTCAGTTTGTAATTTTAAAATGACCAATGAAAATTCTTCTTATATTCAGTCCTTCCCTGTTAATTTTGCAGGAAAACAAACTGAAAACAGACGGATTTCGTCAGAACAAGTAACGTATGAATACAAAGAACTGCCACATTACCTGTCTTTGCGCATGCGTATAAAGAGATAATGTCTCACAGCCAATCAATGTCATCCAAAATACAAATGGTACTCCAGAAGTCTTTATGCCCCTATATCTTTGAATCTGCTGAAGAAATGCGGTCCATAGCTGAAATTGATAAGAAAGACAGATTAATTTCTGCATAGCTGAATCGAAAATGATTCAAAAATACAGGTCAACTTTTGCAAAAGAGCCCCCCAGTAGAGCAATACTCATTTTACAAGAACAAGAAGGTTTTGAGAAAATATTTAAGGAGATGTTATCAAAGAATTGCATACAGGCGTTAAAAGGCTTGTAAAAAGGCATTTAATTATGCTTGTAAAAAGGTTTATGAAAAGGCTTGCCAAAAAGGCAGATAAAAGAAGGGTTTGCAAAAATGTATGCTAGAATGATTGCTACAAGGCTTGCTAAAAGGCTGATGAAAATATTGCAGAACGACAAATTTTAAAAATGCTTATTCGTCATGTAGTTGAGTGTTTCGAGAATTTATACTAGAATACTGTAGCCGGCTTTTTAGATTTGTCGTGTGACATGCAGGCACTTCAATCCGGTCCCCTATCAAAATTGAATATATTTTAGTTTTGCCAAATTTTCACCGTCCGTCTGTCGTATGTTGAACTGTGCTTGAAGGGGCTTAGACGGTAGTTTGCACTGACCACTACCGTCAGGCTCAAACAGGGCCTTCATTTATTTTCATTTTAGGTGGCGTTCTGTAGTAATTCTGTCTTTTTCTATTCTAAAAAATCTTGTTAAATTTTCTTTCAAGGCTTACAAATTGGCTGATTAATTAACATTAACTACAATATTCGTCTGTATTATAAAGCGTCTCCATATTTTTTACATTTTAGTTGGGGCTTCTTTGGCCGAATGGTTTAGGTCATTGACTTTTTTTAGTTAAGCTACAGTTTGTACAAATGTATGTACGTATGTATGACAATATATTATAATCTTTTATGTGTTATGAATTTTTGAGATAACAAAGCAGAGGATGAATATTCATAGAGTAGTCAGTCCTTTTGGATAAATTATAAATTATACAGCTTATCAAATATTATAATACGAATGCATGTACATGAACATGATATGTATACTCTGGTATACATGTACCTTTATTTCGTATAAACATAAAATTACTTTTTTTTTGTAATGGAATGGTTCACACGGCTATTATGCTGAAGTGGGGCAAAGCATAAATAATCTTAATCCTTGAAGAACAGTTTGTTTGTTTGTTTGTTTCATTTTACGCCCTTTTCCAACAGTATTTCAGTCAAATAGGCGGGTAGTTTCCTAACCATCGTTCCTGGAGAGTTACACCAGTACTAGACTACCTTCCTCCGCGCTAAACTACCAAAGCATCTCCCGGGGATCGAACCAAAAAAAAACATGTATAAGTATGTTGCCCAGAAGTCATATGTTTAAGATAGCTTAGGCCTTCATTTTCTATATATTTTTTAAATGTTTGACTGTTGTGTTTTTGTATATGAATTGATAAATTTAACTTAAATTTAACTTAAGTCGGCAGAATGATATCGTTATACCTCGACTAATTTTTCGCAGTTTTGGTATATACTCGAACTTAAAATTAAAGAATATTTTTGTCACGTGTTTGCGTGTCTTCAAAGTGACGTCATTATTTCAGAAAGTAACAATATGGCGACTTGCATATGATAATAAAGGTCCTTTATAATCAATCAGAAAAAGTACCCAAACGAAACAATAACAACAACAAAGACAAACAACTGCCCCATCTTTCCCACTCCCCACAAACAGCACCTCCAATACAAACACTCCCACCCCTACGACATCGTCCCTCCCAAAACAACACCCACGGCAACTTACGACTGTGAGAAACTTTATAGCAGTTGCTGTATACGACGCAGCGGAGATAGATATTTCGCTGTCACACGCATACCCGTCATGTTCTTGAAAAATCAACTGTAGAACTACTGTACATAGTATAAGAAACGAGCATATCTGAAAATAATAAACAAAAAAGATAAAACTACCGTACATATCATAAGAAATGAACGTATCCGAATATATATTATCTTAATCATGATACAAATCTTTGTACGAAATAAAAAAATGTTATTATTATGTATGGGTAGATTTAATACAAGGTAGATCGAACTTTTTGAAGTTAGCACATTAACAGCAGAAATGGTCATTATATTTAACATCACAACCATAAGATTAATCAACTAGGATATTGTAACGCAACAACTGTATGTACGTACGAGAAGTAATATGAAATCAAACAAGAAACTTTACGAGAAGATCAAATCAAACAAGGAACTTTACGCGAAGATCAAATCAAACAAATAACTTTACGCGAGAAAATCAAATCAACCTTTACGCGAGAATATCAAATCAAACAAGAAACTTTACGAGAAGATCAAATCAAACAAGAAACTTCATGGAAATATCAAATCAAACAAAGGTAGATCATTTTGATATATAATACTCACAGCCTTTGAGACGCTTATTTTTGACAATGGTAATGGCGTCAGACGTTTCCCATGATACATGTAGATCAAGAAAAATGGAGACATTATCCACAGAAAGGCACACGGGCCCCATATGAGAACTGTGTCTAGAAAACATGACGAAAATACTGGAGTAGCAACGTCTAGTGTTGAACGATCCTGCAGGAAGAAAACGTCTTTGGAATAAAATAATTCCAGTGCAAATGTAAGCAATACAGTCTTAACTGCAGTAATAGGTGGTCACTACCCCCCTCACCCACTCTAGGACCCTCCTACCTCTCCAAACCATGTAAACTGCAGTATGTGTTCATTTGAAACATGTTTTAATATTTGGTATATGCTTTTAATTCAATTTCCTTCATTTCTTCATTTCTCACAAATAATGAAAAATTGATACTAAATAATCATTAAAGTATCAATTTTTAGCTCACCTGTCACTTTGTGACAGGGTGAGCTTTTGTGATCGCTTTTCGTCCGGCGTCCATCCGTCCGTCTCCCGCCGTCGTCTGTCCGTCCGTCGTCCGTAAACTTTTACTTTAAATGACATCTCCTCATAAACCACTCACCCAATTTCATCCAAACTTCACAGGAATGTTCCTTTGGTGGTCACCTTTGAAAAATGTTCAAAGAATTTAATTCCATGAAGAACTCTGGTTGCCATGGCAACCAAAAGAAAAAACTTTAAATATCTTCTTCTAAAAAACCCAAAGAGCTAAAGCTTAGATATTTGGCATGAAACATCTTCTAGTGAGTGACTACCAAGTTTGTTCAAATAAAACCCCTGGGGTCAAAATTGGCCCCGTCCCAGGGGGTCATTGATTTTCCCTATATGTATAAAGTAAAAACTTAAAATCTTCTTTTAAAGAACCCAAAGAGCTAGAGCTAAGATGTTTATCATGAAACATCTTCTAATGGGTGTCTACCAAGTTTGTTCAAATAAAAGCCCTGGGGTCAAAATTGGCCCCGCCCTAGGGGGTCATTGATTTTCCCTATATGCATATAGTAAAAACTTAAAAATCTTCTTTTAAAGAACCCAAAGAGCTAGAGCTAAGATATTTAGCATGAAACATCTTCTAGTGTGTGTCTACCAAGTTTGTTCAAATAAAAGCCCTTAGGTCAAAATTGGCCCCGCCCCAGGGGGTCATTGATTTTCCTATATGCATATAGTAAAAACTTAAAAATCTTCTTTTAAAGAACCCAAAGAGCTAGAGCTACGATATTTAGCAATGGATGTCTACCAAGTTTGTTCAAATAAGAGCCTTGTGGTCAAAATTGGCCCTGCCCGGGGGGACATTGATTTTCCTTATATGTGTATAGCAAAAACTTAAAAATCTTCTTGGAAAAATCCTAATAGCTAGAGTTTAGATATTAAGCATGAAACATCTTCTAGTAAGTGTCTACAAAGAATGAAAGATTGTTCAAATAAAAGCCCTGGGGTCAAAACTGGCCCTGCCCCAGGGGTGTCATTGTTTTTAAATATATGTGTAAAGAAAAAACTTAAAAAATCTTCTTTTAAAAAACCTAACGAGCTAGACCTTAGATGTTTAGCATGAAACATCTTCTAATGGGTGTCTACCAAGTTTGTTCAAATTAAAGCCCAGGGGTTTTAAACTGGCCCCGCTCCGGGGGGGGGGGCTATATACAGGTGAGCGACTTCAGGGCCATCATGGCCCTCTTGTGCGGGGGGGGGGTGTGGGTATTGACAAATCAACGCGCCGAACGCCAATGCTAGAAAATAGACTTGTAGGTTCGATTTGCTCTTTACTAGTGGTATCGGTTTGCTAAAGAGGCTTTTCCCACTAGTACTCAATAAGAAGAATGAAACAATAAAGAAAAAAAAGAAGAGATAAAATCTGCAGAAGATCATGAAGTAAAAATGAAGTAAAAAATAGGGAAGAATAAGTAGAAAAAATGAAGGAGAAGATAATGACGAAGAAGAAAAGGTAGAGAAAAAATGAAGAAAAAAAACTATGGAAAAAACGTAGGGGAGAAGATAATGATGGAGAAAAATTAAAGAAGAGAACAAATGTGGAAGCAAAATGATCGAAAAGAAGAAAAAGGAGAAAATAATCATGAAGAAGAAAATGAAATAGGAAAATGAAGAAAAGAAGTAGAAAATAATGATGCAGAAGAAAAAGAAGGAAAAATGAAGAAAATGATGAAGAAAAAGGAAATGGAGAAGATAATGGTAAAGGACAAAGGGAGAACAGAAGAAGAAGAAAAAATGATGAAGAAAGAGGAGATAATGATGAAGCAGAAATAGAAGGGAAAAATGAAGAAGAAAAATGGGATAAAAAAAAGAAGAAAAAGAAGAGAAGACAATGCTGAAGAAGGAAATAATAATGATCACCATCATCATCATAAAGAAGAAGAAAAGGGGTTAGTCAACTTTGAACTTACCCAGAATGGTACATCACCACAAAAATGATACAGTATATCTCTAGCCTCACTGTTGTTAAGTTCCATATTCATTTATTCATTTAATAATTTAATCCACTAATTTATACACAAAATAACGTTATATAATATATATAGTTTTAACCTCTTGATTATTTTTACTGATTATTTTAACTACTTTAGTACATGCTCGTATTTTTTTTATTCAATAGTCTAAAAATCAGATCCGATTCAGGTATACAAGGAAACAAACTTGTTGTAAAAGTAAGGCGAAGTTCACATTTGCGAAATTTCTTTATTCCGCATCCAGCTAAAGTATGCCTCCGTAGAATCTCGACGTGACTCGGGTACTAATCAACAACGCATGGTCATAAATATGTACATATACAAACTTAATAATAACAACCTATGTTAAGATATTATATATGCATTCTATAATATTTTATAATATTATCGAATAATATTCATACTCATAACTCCTAACGCCGGTGTGTTCGTCGGTATAAATAATTAGGTCCGTCATGATTCTCTGGTACTTCTCTCCCCTCGGTACGTGTACAACGTTGAGAAGACACAATGCATCGGCAGATGATTGAAGAACCAATGCTACGTGTAAGACGGCAAGTTCGCATGTTTTCTACAGCTATGAGTTACGTTTAAGGCGGCACGACTTAGCTTGTATGGAATTAATTACCGGTGTCCTGACTAAAGCCGAGGGGAGCGGCCCTACAAAGAAGGGAGAGTCGACGAGGATTGGGTATTAAGGAGCGTGAAAAGTTTTTGTTACTTTGTACTCGTTAGTATAAGAGAGATAAGAAAAGATTTACCTTGGTTCGATAGATAAATTATTCGAGTACATATTGCATAATTCCTTTTTATTTATGCTGTATCGTTTAAAAATCTGCAAGGCGTAAACCCTGTTTGGGCATAGACACTTTCTTATGAAGTTATTAGACCCTTGTCTTAGTGTAATGGGAATGGACTTAGAATTCATTTCTGACTTAGGATAAATGTTTTCTACCACCAAACACATATTTTGTGAACATTCAATGAATCGTACCCCTTTGTCATATATTTGAAAGACTGTGTGATATATTTTGATTTTCCCATTTACCAGTGTTTTTTTGTTGTGATTCTAATGAGTGGAACGATTTTAACGATATACTATGCTCATCCTTGGGTAAAATATATTTTTTATTTTATGCTTTTCAGTGGATTACTGATTTATCTTTGATATATTCACAGTGAAAATTATCAAAATATAATTTCACACTTTTCAATGACGAAACTACTTTTTTAAGATTTCCCTATGTGGTACCTCAATTTTATTTTTGCTGACAATTCTGACAATGTCAGGCTGCTGTTAAGCTGAAACTGATAAATAACTTAAATGTCAAGAGTAATAAAAAGAAGAAAACTTACTTCTATTCATTCAAATTCCAATAAACAAATTTCGTCTCTAATTTTTTTTGTTTCATTTTTACATTCTGAAAAATACATTCCTTCCACATGCAAAACTGCTCTTGCTGACATTTGGGCATATTAAAGTATCCTACGAGCAATAACTGCCGTATGCTTTATGAAAACTTGAAAAGCAATGACAGCCATCCCCGAAGAATAAGTAAACAACCCAGCGTTCCTGAGCCAGCCTTTGAAGTTTTCCATTTTCCTTGCTGCTTTTTGAATGATTTCACATCTGTCAACACTTATTTTTTTGTTATACAATCCTCAAATAAGTTTTCTTTCTTCTAAAAAGGTGTATGACTAACAAATCCAAATGATATCCCTCTAAATCAAACACAATTATTTTCCTTCCGTGAAATACACAACTTTAAAAAATGGCTGCCGCTAACATTTAACAAAGCCAGGTCTAATATAAATTCGCAGTAAGTAAAAGAAATATGGATGGATGGTTGGACTTTTTTTCTACAAGAATTGTTTGTTTTTATCATTAAAACAAGCGATCATTCATATTTTTTTAATAAAATGAATAATATCACCGTCATTTAACGTTGATTGTCGAACTATTTTTTCAGCTCACGGCTTCTTGTATTTAATGAGAAATTCCGACTAAATGGGGCTCTCACTGGGGAAACCAGTTTTTAATATTTACGTTAATATTATGGAAATTTCGTTTTAACTTGTTTTTAAGCATAAAATAAAAAGAAAATTGGTTTGATTGTTGTGTAAGATGTAATTTTATTTCATCTCGTGAACTTTAAAAACAGTATTCTCACTCGTGGCAACGCCACTTGTGAGAATACTGTTTTTAAAGCCCACTCGATGAAATAAAATTTCATCTTACACACAAACAAACAAATATCCTCTATATCTTAGAAATGTATTGAAATCCATGAAATCCTTACTGAATATGTATAATTTTGATAAAATAATGAATAAACTATGTATGGGAAGCTGCATTCCCTATAACGGGCCAAGTAAAGTTGGTCTTTTTTAAAAAACCCAAAAAACTGCAAGTGTTCTTAATGACACTATATATTCATTTTGTGACCTCTTATAGTGTGTAGAGTTCAAAACATAACATATCTACTTTAAATGAAGTCGAAACATGTTTTTTTTATGCATATAAAGTGACTGTGTAGCTATTATTAATATTTTAAAAAATAAAATTTGAGCATGGTATATCTTTAAGTTATAACTTTTCAGATTCCTTTTAATTATTGTCAATTAAATCGATAAAAATATCACAGAATTTCAATATGAAACTATTTAGACTTTAAACAAACAGATAAGACTACTACAAAAAATGAAAAAAGGGAATTTTCGGTACCCATTACTGACTAATAATATAATGGAAAAAATTGCAAGCACCCCCTTCTTGTTGAAAAATTGGTATAATTACCAATTTAAAAGGAATTTATTTGTACTAATTTGCCACTATTTTTATAACAGCTTTCTATTGAAAGGGTATTTTAAATATTTTTCTAAAGTATCATAAATTTAGAACAAAAAATAATTGTAACATTTTTTTATGCCTATCGAAATATCTTTGTAATTACGAATCTTATAGTGCAGATGCACGGACATTTTACATTTAAAATGATTACTGAGTGTAACTTTGAATTCAGAATGAATAACACATTTAAAAGAAATGCGTTTGTGCTTTCAAAATCTTACACGTCTTTTGAAATCTCTTAACCTGTAGCCGAAATAAAATCTTATAATGGGGGCTGTATTTACTGTTTTTTTTTTTTTTTTTTTTTTTTTAAATGACTGTAAACAAATGCCCTATTTAGACCCCAAACACTTGTTTTCCTGTGAACAATGGTGTTAAAAAGTGATCCCTTTTCGGCACCAACACTTATTTAATAGATACATCATAAGGGTGCCAGAGGGTGGATGTGCCCCCTTCTGCTTCGGGTTGAAGGGGTCAGCAGACCGCCTCATCTCCAAGAAACTTTTGGACTTGTGAGAGGCTAAAAATAGCCTCAGGCCAACCTTGTGGTAACGTGTAAGCAACGCTGAAAATCCTTTGACTCTATATCACTCCATTGAGAAGTTGCTGCACTTCAGATCGGATTTGATTGAAAAATCAACGCAAAATAGTAATTTTTGATAATTTTGAGATGTCCTCCCGTTGCCATGTTAACAGAAAATTTAAGATTGAGTATGCCGTTACAAAGGCTATGGTCCAGTTAACATTTGTGCCAAGATTGAACAGTATTGAAGTTTTTTAGTTTATAGTTTCATAACAATTTGAACTTGTAACAGGAGACTTTTCAATGAAAACAGCCATTTTTCACAAAATGCTGATGAAATAATGGGTTAATATTTCAGAGTATAAAAAGTTTATTTATACACTCTTTAATCGGTAATCTTTCCTTTAGCAAATAAAATTTAAAAAATAAAAGAAAGATTCACACAGGTATTTTACTATTTTTAAACACTGGCATGGGTGTATCAAACTAGATGGTTTTGTTCAATAACTTTATAAAGTTGTGTTACATGTAGTAGTTGTGATTAAAACGATATTTCACTATATATTACATTATATTGAAAAATTATCTAATCCCAAAACCCCAACAAAACCTATGTTACTCACTGGTAAGCACAAAATAAATGATTTTCACGCGTTACACTTGTTATTATTAGTGACATTATGCCTATCCAAGTGTGTAAATGAGTGAAAAGGTGAAAGTCAAAATAAGTTTTCATTTTGCCATAATTCCTTTTAATAAAAACAATTATAAACAACGCATGGATTCAAACGATCTTTTTTGTTGTTGTAAATATCCATTAGAATTTACCTGTAGTGTTCATTTAATAAAAAGAGTGGGACAGTCTTTTTATATTTAGGCAGATTTTAAAGATTTAATTAAAACATTTTCCATTTGAATCACCATTTCAACAATCAATATTTTGAAATGTATAGTCAGTTCAGCTCAACATGACTATGAAAATATAAGCATAATGTCACTTTAAAACCAAAACGAAAATATAACATATTGCTATACATGTAGTACTCTGAAACTCTTTCGGAGTCTGTGTGATCAGCTTTATGCTAATTAAGAGGCAATTTAGATCTGAAAGTATTTTTTACTCGTTTTTCAATTAATTTATTGTTTTTTATTCATTAATTTGTTAATAAAATTTTAAACAAATTTATCAATTGGCTAATTAATTAAGAAAAGAATAAATTCATTTATATTTACTTTAAAGTGAAAAACAATACACATTCGATACTAAAGTACTTATATATTTTAGTTTAAAGGTTAACAGATAATTTAAAAGTCAATAAAGAATAACAATAAAATTGATTGTATTGTACACGTTTTTGAAGCCCGTCATTATTATTTCGAATGTGTTTATTATGTAGCATTAAAATCCATTACAACTAACTCGTGGTCAGTTTAAGAAAAGTAGAAAAAACAACACAACTAACTCGTGGTCAGGTTAAGAAAATAACAAAAAAAAAACAACCTTAAAGTTTGATTTGATATAATACACAAAACACATATAACATAAACTTTCTATCAATAAAAATCAACTTGGGCAAATAAACTGAAATAAATAAAAAAAATAAAGGACAAAATACTCGAAATCATGCAGAAAATCGATATCTAGTCCGATTATAACCCGATTCGTGTTAAAAACGCTTCAGTCTCATACCAAAACACCATTAAGCTACTGACATGATCATGAAAGGCAACATTAAAAAACCTAAAAAAAACCTCAAAAAACACAACTGTCTGCACTTACGTATTTTTTTTGCTAGTTTTATATGGTATTGAAGATGATATAAGATTTGTCGTAACCATAACCCATAATGTTGAACTTATAATTAAAGGTTTCAAAAACGCAAAAGGAACGTTCAACTTAAAGCAAAATATTACGATACTGTTAAAAGTACAATGGGTTTTTTCTTTGTTTCACAGAAATAATTGGTTTCTCACATGCAACCATAATTTGTTTTCATTTAAAGGAAAGAAATTTGTAGATAATTTTAAACAGATAATTTCTTAAATTAGTAAAGAAAATGACGTTAAATAAGGTCTTAATTATTAGGCTTTGAAAGAAACAAATAGGTACGGATGTACTTCCTTTATTTGAAAAAAAAAACCCCCAGATAATCATAAAAGGATAGAAGGTGTTCTTCACTTTTTAAAAACTGCTATCACACATACAGCCTTCATGTGGAATTTATCATATTAGTTAAGCATAGTGGACAAAAATGATAATGGATAAAATATGTTACAGTTACTGTAGCTTCATATTTCTTATTTGTTCCCTCAGACTTGCCGTATGTTCAAACATTCCAAATGCCGAAGGTATGATTTTTATTAATTTTCTTAAGTTATATAATCTTAAGTTCGATGCATTTTTCTTTCATTTCTGTATTGTGATAATATTAAATGTCTCCATGCATCTTAAATGTGTTTCTAAATAAGTTGTATTTGTAATGAATACCATATGAAAAAAAGTGAAATAGAATAGCTAAGGACTGTCGAAAACGGCAACATTGAAAATGTTGCCGGCACAGTTTAATTTAGCCTGTAAATCGACGGTACTAGCAAGTGCAAGCTACAGCAGTCCATGTCCCTTACGCCGGCTACAGCAATGTTAAACATTTATACACACATTGGTGACCTTTTTTAATTTACGGACATCAGCAGATTTGTTCATTTGCCTGTGATCATGAACATTCGATGTGGCACGTAAATGCCTTTCTATGAAAAGCGGTGTACGGTACCCAGATAAAATAATGCGTGTGCCCTAAAAGGGAAAAATAATGGGCAGTTCTAAATAAAATTGAATTTTTTAAGGGTTCAGAGGTTATGACGAAAGACTTTGCATATCACAGACAAGCTGTCAACATTTCATAATTACTAAATAGATAAAAATCCACATGAAGGTAAAAGTTATAGACACAACTAGAAAAAGCCAAATTTGAAAAAAATAGGTTTACCATAAACGCAAAATAAATGTCGTGTTGAACGATCTTCAAGGAATTTCAAGCTTGTATTGGCCTCCTAAATACAATCTCATTTCTTGATTTTATTTTTATAAATATTATTAAAAAGATAAAAAAGCCACATGAACATAATTGTAATAGACCCTTTATCAACTAAATTTGAGTAATGGACTCGCCCTTTTTGAAATCTTTAACAATCAATTTAAATTTTAAGCAAATAATAAAACAGAGTCACCAATAGTAAAACAACAAAACTACACCGATGTGGAAACAAGAGTGGCATGATACAAAGGCATATATTTCTCGCAGGTTAAGGGTTAAAACTAACTTTGTGAAATCATATTTGCAATGAATAGTTCTAGTATGTTGATAAAAAAAAGAATGACCTTCAACTGAAAATTAATCGGACTCTCCTGTTTTTTCTTGTGCTCGTGATTGACTGTTATAACGAGATAATTTTCTTTTTGTGGCTGAAATTAGGATGTGCTTATCTTGTTCATAAACAAATCAAAGCGATGCATGACAACAGAACGAAGTTTTTGTAGTTTTTACTAAAAGGGAAATAAATTAGGATGTACCTTTTGCATTTACCACTTTTACCAGAACTATCTTTCAATAGATAATATGTGATTTAAGTACAGAATCAGGCCCCGTGTTCACAAAGAAAATATCAGGATCAGGATCAGTTGATCCTGATTTTATTTTCATTGTTTTATAAAACTAAAACTGACCGTATTATGCTAGAGTCAAATGGAACATATTCAAAATATATATAATTGCTTATTTGCAAAGAAACCATCCAATTATGGGATAAAATCAACAAATAAGAGAACAAATGCAAAAATAAACGGATCAAAATGAGGATCAATTTTAGGATCAAGATCAAAATTTGGATCAACTGTAAAATACCTATTTCTTGTAAAAAAAACAATAAATTCATTCTAAAATTTCATAAACGTGCTATTTCAAGTCCAGTTTTATCAAGTTAATACTGAAAATTCAATCTAAGAGAATAAATAATGGAGAATATTCGAGTTTTTAAATTTGATCCTGATCTTGATCCTGATCCTTAAATCTTTGTGAACACGGGGCCAGGGTATAGCCATTTATAAATGCAACATTTTCTTTATATCTGTAACATTCACTCTTGTTTACATGTTTACTTTTTATGCTTGATTACATGGTCTATCCAAGTCCTGCCAGTCATAAAAATAGAATATGTGTGTAACATTACGTATATAAAGACATATAAACCTTTTAATTTACTTGGATACAGAATCTTGTGAAGAGTCTTTGGATCTTACAAATCCGTACCAGTACGATTACTACAGGACTTGGAGTATATGGTGGTCATCTTCATGGAGATGGTTCAATATGACTGTATGTGGTGGACATATGCAGATTCCAGTAAAGGAGAGTGTGGATAAAGACTGTTTTACGACAATGGGAAATGTATTTGCACTAACAGGTAATTATCAAATTAAGATGAATTGTTTAATAATAAAACAATATATAGTCATGTTGTATCAGATATAATATCAAACTAAGAAAGAAATATCTATGTATGTTGTTGGAACGTGACTTGATCAATATATAACATATGTTTATATGGCAGATAATAAAGCGTTGCAGATCAAAATATTATTGCTCATCATAATAAATCACTTTAAACTTAATCAATGTTTTTTTTTCATGAAATAGTTTTAGAATATCTAAATGATAGGTTTCTATTGTTTTAGTTGTTATTTGAAATACTTATGAAAAATGTTGCTACTGTAGCCCAATCTACTTTTATCAAAATGTTCAATGAAATCACAATGTATAGAAAAGAAAACATAAATGACGGTAGCTTACGTGCGTATTTACAATCATGGTCAAACATGACATGGCTGTAGTAATACATGACCGGAATGAATATAATGTTGCAATAGTTTTGTCCTATTGTTGTCCGAAGATGCCTTCTTACACTTGGAAAAGTTTGCATGATACATAGTTAATTTTCAATGTTCCGAATTCACTCGAACATTGTCACGAAGACCACGATTTCAAATAAGTTTTTGGATAGGCGGCTTTATAAAACCTGTTATAACTTCACAGTGTATTACCGTTCACAATATATTTTGTTTACCTGTTGCGCTTATTTTTGAAATTATTACTATAAAAATGTTTGAAACCCATGATCAACTCGGAAACCCCGAACCAATTTTAGATATCGGAGTAAATCGATTGTAAGCTTTTGTTGAAAATGTGTTGAAAACAAACTTTATTTCAAAAGATATCTTGAAAACATTTTAATGATTAAGTTTATGCTTAAAACAATGAGAGTTATTTTATTGCATAGGTATTACGCGTCGTTTTGTCCTATACTCATAAATCTTTTCATTTTATTGTTTAGAAAAGCATCCTGATATTGACGATATAACTGAGAACATTATTGAAGTACAGGCTTGTACTATAAATGAGAATCGAGACTGTGCATGGAACACGTATGTCTTTATGAGGAAATGCAATGAAAACTTATTGTATAGTTTTCCCTGGTACTCTGAAGCAAATCTTGATATATGGAACTATACATGCCTTGGTATGTGAAACAAACTGAAAATGCATCAAATCTAACGATTATTTAGCAATAAATATATTTCTGATTTTATCTATTTGATATTGTAGAAACATGCATTGTTATTTTAAAAGAATTTCTATACGCAAGACATATGCGAATGTTTTTGTCCTTACATTTATATTTAAGTTGAATTCTTTAAGACCAATATATACCACAATAAATCATCATAAATCATCATTCAAGTAACCTATCACAAACCTTTTTGTAATATTACTTTAGTTTATAATGAAAATAATCGTTGTCACCCTTATCATCATTAAAAAGATCTTGTCAAAATTGGATAAAAGAAAAAAAAATTATATATAGATTCAACAGCCTATATTTTGTGCGCTTTTTCAGACAGAATATATACAGAATGTAAGTAGATTCTATTACATTTATTGATACAACTTTTCACAACTATTAAATTAAATTTGCTTTGGAGGATTTTTGGCGTACTTCGTTAATATTGGTGAGGATACATTTCCCTTAAAATATATTCTTTATGTAATCACAATTAACTCTTGATACTGATAAGCGTTTTGGTTTGTTGAAGAACCACAAGATTAAATTGTCTTACTATATATATAAACCGTATAATTATAAATGTATGTTCAGCTGGTGTATAATACTGTTATTGTTTGATATGACTTAAATATTCAAGTCTATCGGCCGAAGCCTGAGATGAATATCACATAAGGAAGGTCAGTATATTTGGATATTCAACGAAAACTTCATAAATAACTGTTTTAATAAATACTTTACAAAAATTAATTTAAATTCTTAATTTAGCCCATTACCCCATGAGAATTTTGCAAAAATGTCTATTTTAATTGAAAAGCATTTACCGGTTCAAATTGCTATGAAACTATAAAAAATGCTTCAATACTCGTCAAACTTGCACAAATGTTGACTGGACCATAGCCTTTGTAATGGCATGCCTAATATTTAATTAATTGTTAACATGACAACGAGGGGACATATCAAAATTGCCAAAAATCACTATTTTACGTTGATTTTTTCCATCAAAACTGAGTTCAAAGTGCTGCAACTTCTCAATGGAAATGGATTGAGATAGTGTCAAAGGTTAATCAGCTTGTTACACATTACGTTAAGGTGAACCTGAGACCATTTGTTCTACTCTCCCAATACCAAACTTTTCTTGCTGTTGCCCCCCTCCCCCTTCAAAACCCTAAGCAGAAGTGGGCACACCCCCCTCTGGCACCACCACCTTATGCATTTTTTTGATAGGGGATGGCCCAAAAAAATGTGATCACATTTTTTAACAATATTTCTCAAACAAAAACACGTGTTTGGGGTCTAAATAGGCCATTTTTTACTATTTTGAGGCCTCAAAGTGGGGGAAGGTGTTAAAAAGCGTGTATATATAGTAATGGATTTTCAAAGTTTTCTGATTTTTTTCCACATAAATATGCCATCAAACGTAGAAGTTAATAACTGGTTTGAGATATAAGGCCAAACTCAAATCACTACCTGGTATAGATTTGACACCATGTGCCCCCCAAAAACATTTGTTAAACTTCTTTGATACTTTGATACACAGTGTTAGAAACTTTAGATTTTAATGTGAAGTTTTGTAATTCAGCAACAATGTTGCTTGTTGTTTCTTCGAAAAGTACGAAAAGTACTGAGTATACCCAAAGAAGATTCATCAGCATAATCCGTATCATGTGATGACTACAAAAAACTGACTGTGGAACTTGCAGGTTTCAAAGCAGAACGGAATCTTTTCTTTGCCAAAGCTCGTTTTTCAGCTCGACGGATCTTCTTTTCACCGTCGCTATCGCTGGCGATTTCATACGACTCAAATTTAGTAACCGTATCCCAGCTGCCAAGACTTTTATAAGCCTATTTCATGAGTTAACTCCTGTGAGTCTTGCGATTCAAACAAGTTTATCTAATGATCTTCTCTGTTCGTTGTTTTGAATAAAACTGGAAACTGACTTTAACTGTTAAATAAGTCCCCGAATTAATTCAAACTGTTTCCGGCTACTGGTCCACATAAAGTCCCTATCGCAATAATTTTCTCTCAATTGTCTTAACTGTCTATCATTGGACTCTCTCGTCTCTTAATTCACGCTTAAGCGAAGAAAACCTATTTTCTAAATACACCTGAAAAGCGACCATAGAATCCGTAGAACCGTCTCTATCGCTACCACGTGACCGCCCTGCGTTTTCGTTATCACTGTCTATTTAAGACGGAAAATAAACACGTGAACGAAGCAATTAATTATCTTGAGTGATTTTAAACGCCTTTCGATAATTTTATAGAAATCCGATACGCTAGTTGATGCGCGAAAATATCGTGCGAGACAATCTCTAGCATATCTTTATAGCTATACTAAGAATAAATACATTTGTGTGCATTGCAATAAAGTCTGTTTTATGCGATATTACAAAATATATCCTATCCTTATCTCAGCGTACATTAATAAGCTTTTCTTAATAAAGATTTTCTTTCTTATAGTATCCTGCCAATCAGCGTTAACAAAACATACCGATGAAAACAGATATGATAATATCTTGAAACTTGCGCCTGATGATTTGTGTTGTTGGACGGACACATTTGTGGGAGGAAAACAATTTCGTTTACCATCTCTTGTGGACATTGAAATAATCTTTGAGTCATGCTCATTATCGGAAGAATGGGATTGGCATTACTTTTTGCAAGGTCTGTGTACTATAATGAAATTAAATAGTTTTATCATCGATTTTCAATTTTGTCAAAGAGAAAATGATATATAACCTTTTTATTATTATAAGGCCGGAGTGACATAATGAAATGGAAGGATAGACATCACAATTTTATGAAACTGTATTTTGAAGCTTTTTTAGCAAATATAAAATGTAAAATGTATTTGTATTTTGTAACATGTATACTCTTTTGCAGAAACATTGCCAGATGAAATAGGGGAAGACCCAGTGAAACTTGCTGCTTGCTATGTATATAATAGTGGCGGTTCTTATGTTATCAATTCTGATGATAACGGGAATTGTTATAATTATTTCTATGTTAGATCGTGCAATGGAAAACTTCAGTTTGATTTAACTGGATACCATTATACACAGGATAATATATGTTTGAGTAAGTCTTGAAAATAAATCTTTTTGAAGAAACATTTGAATTAATTGATACTTAAAAAGTATGAAATTTCCCCACATGACTTTAACACTGATTTTGTGATTTTATACAGTTGGGTATTTATTTGTTTTTTAATGGGTATTGCTTAATATTTTCAACAGGTTAAAATCAGTTAGGTGTTTCTGAGGTTTATTAATTTTAGATCAAGAACTGGACCTGCGATATTTTCGACCACTACATACAGGTTTTTAACTTATTTGACCATACGAAACGAATCTTCCTCACAGTCGCATTTCAATCTCTTATATTCGAACTCTTAAAATAATCAAGACCTGCACTCCTCCTTTGTATAAGACATTGTTTGCAGGTATTTAAGTTTTACGTCCCTGGTTGAAATTAAAAGAAATCGTGACAGTTACAGTTATATGAGGCCCAAAGTCCTAACCCAAGGAAAAAGGTTGCGCACGCCCGCCTAACATGGTCGCTTTTTAAGAATTTTGAACAAAAGGTCATTTTTTAGACAGACAATTAAATATCAATCAGTTAGCACAATAATTTAAGTAGACATTTACAAATGTCATCTATGAAGAAAGAGAAATATATAAATAATTTACTTCCATGGAATTATTCTAATGCCATTTACATGGTCATTTTTTAAAATTTTATTTTAAAAATTGTGAAGCTTTTAAACACTGACATCGAAATTTAGAAACCACATACTATTATTTATGTTTAAATATGTTCTACAAAATTTCTGTCCTTTGCTTTTAGTACATTACAACACTGTCAAAGTACAACCAGAGATACGCCATGAGGAAACATCAATGACAGAAGATGGGAAGGAAATGATCTTTTACACCAGCAGTCTACAGTATAGATGTTCATTTAATGCCGTGGAAAACATGCAATATAAAACAAACTGGTATTTTTTTATCTTTATAAAATACTTCTATTGCTTAGTAACACTAAAATCTTAAAAAATATCGTTAACATATGTAATAAAGAAATAATTAAGCATCATTCTAAACGTGTTTAATGTGAAATCATGCCCGTTAACTTGTTGCGAGTAGACCAACTACACGCTATTTTGGAAGGCTTTGCACAATGGATAATCTTATTCATTCCGTAAATTTATCATAGGGAGTAATGGCTAAAAGCACGGGAGGAATCACGTGTTTTTGTATAGTAATACCTACGAGAAAATGACGACTGCTGAGCCCCGGTAAGTACCTTATTATGTTTAAATAAGGTGACAATCGTTTCTTAAATCAAAAGAAAACCTAGCGTATCATATGCACGTTCATTTTCTTCAAATAACAATACAATGAGCAGTATCGTAAATTGTGTGGTTATTGAGAACATTGTTTGAATTGTGGGAAAATTGTACACGCAGCGATAGTAAATCACACGAAATTTGGTACCAAAATAAATGAAAAAAAGCTTTCTTTCTGCACTTAAGACACCAAATCAACCATTTTATTGACATCTGTTATCGTAGAATTCCATATAAAATTTTGTTCGAAGGTCCGTAGCCTACAGATGTTCTTTGCAAGTGTTTAGTAAGTAAAACGAACAATTTCTGGATAGTAAGTCGCACGAACACAAAAGAGTAAGTTTCACGCAAAATTTCCAATGGCATACATATACATTCAAAGAAAGTTATAGTTCATATGTAAAGAGATAAAAATAATTATTTCAATTATTCATGATCAAATATTTGAATTTTTGTCTATAGGACGAATGCTTATAAATACATGTATATCAAATGAACTTTTAATGGGATTTGATATCACACGGCTCAGTGTTATAGTAGTTATTTGACCTCTGCAGTGTCATGTGTGTATTGGCCCTCATTTTACTGTAATTAGTACAAGATGAACAAATGATGTGTCGTAAAGGTAGCAAAAAGAAAACAAATTAGTATATTGACTTCCATTAATACTTATTCACTAAAGGTATACCAATTGCCAAAAGAACCAAATATGCAAAAGATAGTTTGAGTATCTAGCAAATGAGTATGTTTTCGGAAACTGTAACCAGATACCAAAAAATAAACAGTTTTTATTAAGGTAGACCAGGGGTAATTGACACTATAAGGAACTGTAAAAATGACAACATAGGACAGTTATATGTCTTAAAGGTCACCTGTATGCAAAACTTAAATACAATTTACCATGTGGTTTTTGAGTAATGGATATATTTCTGAACTAAAACTTTGCTATAAGAGGGCTTTTTTCAGAAATGAGAAAACTCTAAATAATCTACAATATCATCATTATTAAATATGTTTTCCTATTGCTCATTGTTAAGAAACTATGATGGCACAAAGGTGACATGCGTGTGTTTTTATTTATCTCGGGGCCACGAGATACTATGTCGTGGCCACGAGTTACTTAGTCGTGGCCACGAGATAGTTAAATCGTATGATATTTTTAGTACTGCCTGAACGGACAACTATTTAAGGACGCATCTACATCTAGTCAAGTTTCTTAAATGTCACATTTAGATAAGCTACATAAATGGCCCTTTCAACATATTATCAGGCACATTTTTTACTGAAATCTCTTAATTAGATTTCCGGGAATTTATACCTTTGTATGTGCTAAGACAATCTATCATATTTCTATAAAATATGTAATTAAAAAAAAAACACAAAAAAGGAAAAATGATGCAATTAAATAAAAACAATGCAGTTAATGAAAGGTGTACATTCCTTTAAAATAGATGGACAATTTTAGAAAAATATATTTTGAGCTTATCAAATTCTTTATTTGATGAAAGATCTTCACTTACTTATAAACATAATTTGAAATCCCTATTTATTTTACTATAATTCAGTGCACATGGTTTTTGTCTATTTAATACCTTAATTTTTGTTTACCATTGGCTTTGTCAACAATATATTATTTAAAACATCATGAAAACTCATTTTTATTGATTGAATGTTTATGACCCCAAAGTGCGGTCGTTTGTCTGATGTAAAAATGGATATGTTCCTGTTTAACGCACTCTGGGGTCGGACCCCAAAGTGCGTTGGACCCCAAAGTGTGGTGTTACAAACCACTCGGCCATGGACGCCCTGAAAATCTTATTTACTTTCTCTATCACAAACAAAAAGTAAGAGTTTACGACGCAACACATTTGCACATGGTATGAAAATAAGCGTATTGAAATACATAACGTTTTAACAAAACTTCTTGGGTGTATTTATAAAATCTGCCAGTGTATAAATGAATAAATTCAATAAAAAACTTTGTATACCAGTTCTATGATGGCATTAAATATCAATGTAATATGGCGAAGGTCTTATTCTTTGCGTTTTTGGTCCAAGTTTCAGATACTGAAAAGTAAATGATAGTGTTAATAATATTTCTTCCTGCACAGTTATTTCTTTATATATCTAGTTCTACAGATGACGGATGTAGGTGCGATCTAATGTGAAAAAGGTATCTGTGGAACATATATTGTTGAGAACCAATGTCAATGTCTCATTTTTTAAAGTTAAGTAATATTTTATGAGATAATATGAATACAAATACATGTATTATGAAATAATATGAATTATAATAAAAATACTTTCTCGATATTTGTTTCTTTGTAACCATAGACGGAACACACTTGCAAATTGGTAAGCAAAATAATTATAAAATAGTTTCGTGACATTTAAGTAAGCTATTGGAAACTGTACGAGAAACTTACTATTTTGTTATCGTGCGACTTACTATCCAGAAATTGTTCGTTTTAATTACTTAACACTTGCAAATACATTTGTAGGCAACAGACCTTCGAACAAAAATTTATATGGAATTTTACGAGAACAAATGCCAATAAATGATTGATTTAGTGTCTAAAGTGCAATAAGAAAGCTTATTTCATTTATTTTGGTACTAAATTATATCGCTTCGTGCTCAGCAGTCGCCATTTTCTCGTGGGTATTACTAGACAATGTCACGTGATCCCACCCCCCCCCCCCGTGAAAAGCGCGGCTTAATACAATAACACATGGTCGCCAATAGAAATCAGATTTTCATACATTTTTATTCTCATCTAGATAGAAAAACCCATTATTTTTTCAAATATAAAATTTCACAATCCGATCTTTGTTATTCGTAATGTTTAGTGTCATATCCCTCTTTGCATTTTCCACATATGTCAATCACGTGACATATTTATAGGAATTATTTTTGCATTTTGTAGCAATTATAAAAGATATTCTTCTCATATTATAATATCATTTACAAGGTGACTTTGAGTAACATGTGATAATTTAGTTTTCCATTTTGTTCATCTTCAATAAATGCATGCACGCAAAAAAGGTCAAAATGACACATCTTTATCAACAACTAAAACCAATGTACATATATAAGAAATTAAAAAGATTAAATCAAATACATTTTCAGATATTTATAAACATGTTCTAAAAGATAGGAAAAGGCTTTTATTTCGGTTCTGACTTTTTTCAGCATTGTATTAGATTATTCATTATTGTATGTAAATTCTGTTTGTGAAAAATGTCTGAAATAATATAGCGTAAAACTAAATTCTGAATGTATGACATATTTTTACTATCTAGATGTTTTGCAATAGCATTTTGAGTTTGGAGCTTACATAATTTTGCTTGGCCAGACTTTCTTACTTGCATTTAAATATAGTTTTATTTATGTACATTTCTTTATATGTTAAAAAAACAAACACAAAAATACTTTTAATTTGTAAAAATTCACTCATTATTTAAGAAATTTGTTTAAATCACTTATTATACTTTCAGAAATTTCTTACCTTTAAAAAAGAGAAGATGATTTCAACTAAAATTAGCTTTGTACGGACAATATACTATAATTAGGGACTATTTATATGGAAAATATTCTGCTATAATTAAAAAAATATTCATGATTTAACTTAAATTAGCATTCTAAGAACAATTTACTATAATAAAGGAATATTTAAATGGAAAATCTTCTGCTATATATTTTTTTAAAATAGAATCACATCAATATGCTATTGTCGCAATTATAAGTATATATATTATAATATATAGTTGAAATTATAGCGAGAAAAAGAATGAGCAATGGCTTTTTCGATTTATATTGCAATTATTTATTAGCTAAACTATTACAATAAATGAATACAAATGTCTACCCGCTAACGGTTTTAACGAGTGAAACCGGTAGATATTTTTCTTCAATTATTATAATAGTTTTGCAAATGAATAATTGAATGTAAATCGAAAAATGTATCGCTTCATTGTTCTTTTTTCCACAATTTTTCCACTTATTATTTGAAACTTTTATTTTGAAATAATATATATGTCAAAATTGTAAATGAATCGACATGAAAGGCCTTTTATATGTACTTAACATATCTGGTTATAAATAACAAAGAATACTTATGCTTTTTGCAAAAAGGAAAAAAAAACAAAAACAAAAAACAACAACAACAACAACAAAAAAAAGATGTACATCATACAATCATACATTTTGTGTAAATGTGCATATATATTAATCGTTAATAAACAATCATAGGTATATAAACGGAACCTTTCAAGTACAGACGGGACCTTCTTCTAATATAGACGACATGGTATTCAAAGAGAAATATCTTACAAGTTTGAAACACGGATACGAGGTACATCATTATTAATTTTATTTACACTTAATCAGTTACATTATCTCTTTGAAAAGTATTGTGATCAGATAATTAGTTACGGCTTGCTTTTTTTTTTAATCACAAAAACTTATCAATACATCGCCATTTAAGAAATTGGAAATACAATGAAACTTTAAACATATTTTCATTTTTTATTGTAATTTTTTTTATCAAATGAAATAGAGTAAAGAGATTGCTTTTTATATAATACACTAGGTCCGGTGTGGTGTATTTCCTGCAGATGAAAACGAGACAATGGAAGCTCCGAGTGATACTTTTTATGCCGGATGGAAGGTTATCTAAAAGCTTTTTAATATTTTACTTAAAGTGATTAATGTCATCAGTTAAAGGATTTCTTTCAGATGCAAAATAATAACGCAGAACAAAATATCTCCCCGATGAATGAAACATTGATAAGTATTGACTTTCATTTTGATTTTTATGATAAAAAAGAAAGCAATAGAATCCATAAAAAACGACAAAATTAAAAAATGTTTTAAGTCATACTCGTGTGTTCAAACATTGTTTCAGATATCACACAAGGATATCATACTAAGTAAAAGTGGGGTTGCTAACATAACAATTGAGCAAACAATTCCCTTAGGATGTAACTACAGAGCTGAAGATGTAGCAAACTGCCTAGAAACAATATCGGTCCAGGACATTATAAATAATGCAGATGACTGCAGTTGTCGAATAACAGTACAAAGCTCCGATTATCCAAGTAAACCGTTTGTAGAAATAAAGGTATAACGAGCGAGTGCGAATCTTCATTTGTCTCAGATTTACCTATTTTGATTTTTTTAATTGTTTAGAATGATCGTTCTTCATTTTGCTTGAATATAAAACAACATCACAATCAAGATCTATATTTCTTCTTTTTTATTAATATAAAATCTACTCATAGAATTTTATTAGAATTTGATCATCCAAGACATGGATTATTTTTTATTTTAATTTAATGCTAAATGTAAAGCTTCATCTTTTGACATATTACACATATACTATTTATCTTACATATATTAGTCTATATTTGTACAATTATCTCTTCAAGAGTTTGAAGAAAGGTGAGATGTGGACAAAGAAAATGTACACAGCACAACTTTCATCTATAGACAATGATTATGATGATCAGACCGCTTTTGACCTTCAAATAGTATTGACGTACAATAGCGTCGCTGGAATACCTGTCACACAATCGGTAAGAAATCTTAAAAAATATTTAGTTTATTAAGCAAAGTCCTTTATTGTGATTAATTTTTCTATGCTTATAACATGGTGATTCATCATATGAAATTGTTTTATTATTGAAACGTATTTAACTGATACTGAACTAATTTCCTTTTCAGGTGGTTGGTGAAGTTCATGTAAGTGAAAAATAGTTATTGAATATAGCAAAATATTATTATTGAACTATGAGCTTTACTTGTAATTAGCATTTGTAACAATCATTAAGGATACTTATGCATGATGACTTATAATTAATAATATTTTACGTGAGAAAGTTATTATTTGTATTTGATTATCTATGAACAATAACCTAAGGACATTTCTTTACAAAATTTAGTTTTTATTATTTTTTTTTAACTCAAAATAAGAGATTTCAATATTTTCCTATTGAGCATTCTTTAGAAATGGCATTTGAAACTTCTTCATCTGTTTGCCTACCAACCACTACAATCAAGAGGCGACTAACTTTTCATCACTGCCACTAGTGAGTGGGGTAACGCACGCTGTTTCATCATTAATGATGTAATACTAATGCTGGTTCCGACGTAACCTGAGAATGAAATTGACTCTATCTTCCCACTTGGACTTCTTTTTCACTTTTAGATATAAAATATTTTCTGAATTATTTACCTGTGTATTATTTCTGTAGCAGAAATTTAAAACAGTTATCCGAGTACATGTGTACTATTCAATTATCTTCTCTATGAAGTGTTACTATCCGTGTTTATCTTCCTTGAAAGCGCATTTCGGTGCGCAAAAATGCTATCAAAAACATTTTTAAACATTTTTATGCTTCATAAAGGTGGAAATTACGGATGTCAAAAGACACTGGAATAAAAGATGCTATTCCCACGTGGACCCGCATATGAAAACTGTTGACGGCATGTATGATACTGTTTTTTAAAAATCAAAAGATAATTCTTAGACCAAGCTCAAAGAAATATGAATATCATTTCATAATTGTTAGATTCTCTTTTTCTTTTCTTTTCCTTGAAATGTTTTCAAACATTGACAGTGTTGTTTAAGATAAGATTATTTTCACAAGTATGAAAATTACTTCAGTCCAATAAATAATTTAAAAACGTATACTTGTCTAACAAAATGATATATTTACTTTCTTCTGTTTCTTTCTAATTTGGTTTTCGAATTGTATTATAGGAAAATATACATTTGATTGTTAACTTCTTTCCCACATATTTCATTATAGACATTACGAGGCACAGAGAGAAGGGGACTACATATTGTACCTGAATGAGAAATTTTAAATAGAGGTTATTACAGGCGTGTTTTTTCTTTTTGATTGTTTTGCTGGCTGTTTTCTTTATTAATTGGATAATTTTTATCAATGATACTATATTATGTACATGCAATTGATGTTAAACATATGCGCACTGCTCCTTTTCAGACAATAACAAATTTTGTCACGAGTTGAGTTTACTTCATAGGAATGTTTGTATAATGGCCCTATTCTCTTCAACTCATTGCTTTTGAGATAATCAAAGAACGAAATTGATATATACACTTTTTGCGCCGGTTTTACAGAAACAATTAAATTATAATAAATGCGTCTTCCTTATGTCAACAAGCTGTGATCCTGTGTTTAACTTGTTTGCAGTCTTACTGCGATCACAACAATGTTTCCAAAAATATCATTTTGATTTGTTACAGGAAAATTTGATGTTTTGCCACCATAATTCAGCTTAAATCACAAAAAGTTCTTAAAAATAAAAATGTAAAAACTTAACTTAAAAACTTACATGTTTTGAAATTTCATATGTTAAATTTCTGTAAAGCCACATTTTGTTTTACATTCGACCAAATAGTTGTAAAAAGAATGACATGCCTTACTGTATACCTTTATCCTGCTTTTCCACCTAAGGTACAAACATCTGCAAGATATTGCTGGCATGGATACAAGGGTGGACCAGTTTGTGCCTGTGGAATAGCAATAGCTGTTGGTGCCGATCTTTTTGTCATCAATAGATGTCATGATAAACCTTTCAAATTCGATCTATCGTGCGGAGATGGTGGACTTATTGATATTGAACATATCAACGATTACAGATATCTGGTATGCATTTCGTTGTCTCATACGTCTTTTAATAATGCTTGTTGTTTTAACTGACTAAGAATAAACAAAGCATGATAATTTATAATGATAATAAATGCGTATCAATGCGAAAACAATAACAAATAATTTCGATATAATTATGAGTGCCAGGTTTGTTTTAGGTTCGAACACCAATTGGTACAATGATTGAAATACTTTTATGGGGTAACGTAATGAACATTGATGTGTACATGTCTGCCAAAGATTTTGGAAATGTGGCTGGACTTTGTGGAAACTTTGACGGGGAAAGATCTAATGATCTAGAACATAGAGACGGAACTATTTCTGATGATTACAACAGAAGTTATAAATTTGCCGATAGCTGGAGGTTCGTTGTTGTTTTATTCCCCAATTTATTTAAAATACTTTCACTTATTTATACCTTTTTAGATATTTTTGAGGTATTTCCTTGTATGAAAAACATTTAAGGTAAATTACCTTTCGACGAGGTCTATTTCTCCTACAAATCAAGTAATTAACTAACTTGATATATATCTATTTAGAGAGACCTTACTTGCTTGCATGATTGATAATAGTTTTTGTCATTGTCAACAAAGGGTTTCGTCGACTCAACTGTGAGTTCTGGACCTGTAGTGAAGGGGTCTGAAAAAGACAAGTTTGCGCTTATCAAAATATTTATTCTTGACCCAAACAAAACTTAGGCCTGCGCCAACAATTTCTCATTTTAAGTGCGCATACGTTTCGCAGATTAGCGGGGTAATTGAACAATTAGCAAGAAAAGATATTCAAAGAGGTAGGTAAGTGCTTTTATGTATAGGTGACGGCTATTGGATGGGGGATATCATATGAGTGTAATAATTGAAATAAAAACTACAGTAAACAAAAAGGGACATTGACCATTAAACATAACTCTTCAGAGACAAACATGAACACGAACAAAACAAAAAAAAACAAACAGAATTAGGCAATACAGGCAATGCATACTTGACCCTGTGACATCATTATAAGTATTCAATTTTGGCAAATGTTGAAGTGAAATTTAATAACTTTCAAAATAATATTCTAAGTGCCGTTAAAAGTTATCTACGAGGATTGATCAAAAAGTTCTCAGCCTAATGTACTTCCGATAGTCAGAGAACCCAACTAATGGTCTTACTTTTCAATATCAATCGCCTTCTACATGAATGCACTTTTCCCCACTTGTGCGTTAAATTCTTTTACCCTTCAAAATAGAACTCTCTATTTTGGACCTCAAAGAACTCATTGACCGCCTCCATGAGACGTTCACAGCTTCCAAAACGTCTACCACGAAGCTTGATTTTCAGTTTTGGAAACAGGTAGAAGTCAGAGCGGGCCAAGACCGGAGAATATGGGGTATGGGGAAGAATTTCAAAGCCGCAATCAGTTGCAGCAGCCATTGCAACTTGGGATGTGTGAGCTGGCGCATTGTCGTGCAGGATCAGAACGCCGCCTTGAGTCAGTTTGCCCCTCCCTTTAAGCGCGATTTCTTGACGCAGAATCAAATCGTCTGCAAAGTACGTACCGTTTATGGTATGACCTTGCTCAAGATAGTGAATCATAATTATTCCATGACTATCCCAAAAAAAAAATGAAGCCATCCTCTTCCCTGCTGATGGCACCCCATTGAATTTCTTCGGAGGGGTGAGCCAGAGTGCTAACACTGCATGCTCAGTTGTTGTTTTTTTATTCTGGATCGAAGTGATAGACCAATGTTTAATCTTGAGTTACGGTCCGATAGATAAAATCAGGTTCAACCTCGTAGCGAAACAAAAGATATCTTGAAATGTCAAGCCTGGTCCGTTTCTGGTCGTCAGTCAACTGTCTTGGGACCCATTTAGCGGAAACCTTTACATGCCATAGACATCAGTCGGAATTGCCTGAACTGAACCAAAGCTTATACCCACTTCCCTAGCCTCGCATTCTGTTGCACATGACAAGATCGTGCACAGCTTTGGCAGTTTCATTGTTGGTGGCCTTATTTGACCGCCAAGGCCGCTCATCATCTCCAATGCTCCCCCTGCCCCTCTTAAATTCAGCAGTCCATTTTTACAGTGCTATAGGAAGGGGGCTTCTTCCAAAGTGTTTCCATAAAGTCTTCATGGATTTCCTTGGGGGACATTCTTTTCTTTAAGAGGTTTTAAATGACCGCTCTGATTTCAACTGTCTTCATTTGGTCTAAATGACACACCCCTCAACTGATCAAAGTGTGTTTTATGTTACTTAATCTGTGTAAAAAAAAAAATGTCAGTGTAGTGGCTAGAAGTATATCGGGCCGTTTACTTTTTGAGCATACCTCGTTAAATATGATAAACAAGATCAAAAAGGAAAGGCGGTGTTCAATGAACACAATTTAATTGATGAGCATAATGTACTTACCCAACATTATGTCGTGTGGAATAGTACTGATTGCAAAATTGTGTAGTCTTCATGTATTTCATTATCATTTTAGCGTCTATAGTTTCACAGTTCTTTGTTGATGCTAAAATGATAATAAAATACACGAAGACTACACGATCCTATGAATAGATGCGGATCAAATTATTGTGCGATTGATCAGTTCTTTATTTCATTTAATATCAAATGAACAGGAGTTGAATAGTTGAATAGTTCTGGCATCTTGGTACGGATTATATCATTTGTATTACAGATTGACTGATGAAGAAAATTTTTTTATAAACACAAAACGTAATCTTGATCACAGGAATGTAAATAATGTTGGCCAGACATGTGCAAGAGCAAATTCAATAACAAGAAAAAAATGTAAGATCAGCAAAAGGCAAAGACGATCAGTTCCTGAACACTCAAAAATGAGTACACATTATCAACACTTGCTGTCGCGTAAAAGGGTATTGATTTTAAGTGTAGTGATTATAGTGTTACAGTTATTCTTTATCAATTATCTTTACAATGTTATCGTTGACTTAATATTTTCAAATCATGCCATTTAGTTCCGATTCACAATCATTTTCTGTAAAAGATTCAACATTGATTGGTTTTTTTTTGATACAGTTGTCACAGACGATGCTGCGGTTAGTATTTTATATAAGCCCTTTATCCGTAGCAACATTATTCTACTTTAAGTTTCAATCAAATACTTATATCTTGTAAACTTGGCTCTAAAATCCCTTTGATTGAATTGAAACTGCAGAACAAATTAGGTTAAATTGACGTAAAAACTTTTATGCCATTTTACTTTGAAGCTATAGAATAGCTTTCACATTTGTATTCAATATATTTCCTAGTGGACTAGTAATCTAAGGATTACTGAACGCGTGGGTTCAAATCCTGTCAGGGGCAAGCCGTTGTTTCCTAGAGCAAGAAACTTTACATTCATTGCTTAGTACTAGTTGGTTCCAGGAACGAATTCGAGAGTGTTTCAATAAGCTTATAGCTTTCAACACAATCGAACTAAAATAAATATGTATAAACCAATATCTTTCCTAGAGAGCCACAAACAGTTTTACTGAGGACGAGGCATTTAAGCTATGTAATCATTCAATATATACAACACCAGCAGTCCAAGAATTTCCAGATCATCTCGCTGAGGAAGACCCAGATATTGTCGTAGAACAGTGTGTTTATGACTTGACGGTGATTATCATATTACTTGTAATTTTCCCGTTATTCAATATACGGTCAACAAGAGTTACATTGACCATAAGTCGAGCAGAAATTTCCTTAGATAAAATATGTCAAAAGCAAGACGCTTTATTAAACCGTTCATGATCGTTAATTGCTACTTCTTGTCCTTTTGTGAAAATTACAGAATTAATAAAGACAACGTTCTTCCTGTCAAAGTGAAAAGTACAGAATTAATAAAGACAACGTTCTTCCTGTCAAAGTGAAATAATTATTCTATGAAACCGTACTTCTTCGCATTCTGATTAAAGGATGAAATAACCGAAGGCCTCGATGAATGTCACATTATCATCATACAACATTATTGTAACTACTTTGATCATAAACGAATCTAACGTCCTTCCCTGTGCTAAAATTAGTATGTGTTTTCATTAATCATATATGTGCTACATCCCGTACTTGTATCTGCGTTATATCAGTTTGAAATATTGAATAATTTTATTCATTATTTGGTTCTTTGACAGCGCAATTATAATTTGTTTTCTGTCGTGTTTGGCAGGGTGTCTAAATGATTTACACAAACTAGACCAATAACGTAAACAAACTAAGTGACTACTGATTGTTTTTCCATACTGACCTAATTACAGCTGTTATATATGTGGCTTAACTGTGATCAAATAAATGTTGTGAAAAAAAGCACATGGAATCAAAAGATATATAAATCTGTTTAAAACAAATTTTCTTCACTCATCTTCTTTTAGCAAGGAAACGACACAGCTTGGATTGATGCACACGTGACTATTCTAAACAATGCTGCTGATACAATTCTCAGAATGAGCCCAGTTTATGTTGCTAATAACACAGATAAAGTGAACTCGTTTCGTAGTGAAATTTGCATGAATAATTGCAGTGGAAACGGAATCTGTACAGACACAGGTGTGTTATTTTTTCTAATTGATCTTATGTTTCCTAAGTATAAAAAAAGAAAGATGTATGTAAAAGATCTATAAATGCGTTCCAGAATAAAAAAGGAAATTCCAGATGTCCTTTTTCCGGGGGTCGACCTAAAACCACTTTTTCGACAACAAATTTACAACCTCAGAGAGAGATAGGGTTCGCTGACTTAGAGGAATAATTCCCCTATCTTTTAAACCTCATACGAAACGATTGGTACCTGTCCGTTCTGTGGATAATATTCCATTACCTTTTATACGAGTTTATTTTCTGACGATTATGTTGGAAAATCGTTCTTCGGGGCTATTTGATGAATACATATAGAAGAAGATTTAGCTTGCTTTTAAATGGGTCAATATTATTGTCATTTGTGCGGATTACAAAAGCCGTTTTAATTAATTGTAGACGGCCAATGCATTTTTTAAATATAAAAAAGGAAGGTTAAATAATAACGGAAATGTCTGTTAATTTTCGATACATGTTTTCATAATTTTATTTGAGAATATAAAGAAGAAACACAAAAAATACACCCAATAATAATTACTTTCAATAAATAATATAATAATGGTTTATATTAAACTGTTGACATTTATCTGTAAACTATTTCAACTTATTTTTTACAACATAAATATGTTTATCAAACAACCGTACACGTATTATCATTTAAGTAAATTGAAAACATAACAATTTGATAGGCATGCTGATCTTTAGTTTTTTATTCTTATGTAGTTGTAGTTGTTTATTCTATACTATACATGTAGTGTAAAGTATATGTTTCATTAGTTATACACTTATGAAAAAATATTCAGATGTATTCATCAATGAAATGCGCAGGGCTGCAGATAACATGCGTATTTGCGTAATTACCCAATTAAAATGTCAAAAAAGCAATAGAAATAATAACTAAGGGTAAGAAAAAGTAAATAAATTCTTATTTATGCAAACTACATTGAAACTGATGGGTAAAGACATAAGTTTTACTTAATGCTGTACATCAGGCAGATCATACTGTTTCAGACTGTTTTAACCTTTAAATCATATCAGGCAGCTTGGAAATCTCCTAGGCCAATAAACCATAAAGCATAGTAGTAAGTAGCTTTTTTATTACCATACAAAACCTACAACAGTCTACAATGAAGGTCAGAAATTTTGGGTAAAATACATGAACATTTGCTTTAAAACCCAAATTGGTTAGAGTGGGTAGGGTAAAAAATACAGAAATAACTCTAAGAAAATAGAAAAAACCCAATAGATCACAAAACAAGGGGTAATCACCCAATATACACAAAATGTTATCTGTAGCCCTGAATGCGTATTTTAATTTTCCATATATTTCTCTGTATAA